TAAATAAATAAAAATAATTCTCTTCAAAGTTTTTCTTTTTGTTGGTTTTCTTGTGTATATGTTGGGTTGTTTTCTTTTTTTCTTTTCTTTCTCTTTAAGGTGGACTGTATTTGTATTGGATTGGTAAACTTAGTGTTAAAGCGGGTGTAGTCCGGTGGATTTTCTTTATTATCTCATTCTCTTCATCATTGGTGGTGTGGGATAGGATAGTTGAGGATGGTGGGTGATGGCAGGACGGATAGTGATCAAACTTAAAAACAAGAAAGTAGTGGGTACAGGGCGGGCATAACAATCATCAAATCAAAATTCAACATTCAATCAATCAAGCTGAATTTGGAATACTACTTAAAATCAATTTTCTTTCTTTCTTTCTTCTCTTTTTCTTTTTTTCTTCATATACCTCAAATTATCAAATAAATAGCAGGGGGCATGGGATGGGTACAAGTTACAAACTTCAATAAATCAACTTTAACAATTAAAACAAACAGATTACTGCTATAAAACCTTTTCCTTATTTTCTTTATTTTCTTTTTCTTCTCTTTTATCTTTTATTTTCTTGTTTAAAATTACAAATTTACCTACATTCAACTTATCACTTTATCAATTTCTTTATTCTTTTCTTTTGTTATCACGGCGGAAGGGTATAGGTAGACGAGGTTGGTGGAAAGTAGGCAGGAAGGAATGGTCAAATCAATCAATTAACAAGCAATTAAAAATCAAATTAAATTAAATCAAAAAATCACATGAAGAGTAAATCAACAATTACATAGAAACAAAATTTAAATAATGAATATTCAAACGTCAAAGTATAATGAAAAACAATTACGAATAGTACGATTCAAACTCTGCATATGTTTCTCTTTTTCTTCTTCTCTTCTTTTTTCTTTTCTACGGGGACGGGATTGGTAGTTGAGGATGGTGGAATCGCTGGCCGGTAATAGAATATTAGTGTTACACATTACATCAAATCATTTTAAATTACAACAACTTAAGTCTGGAGTAGGCACTGCCAGCATAGATGCCTCACGTTGAGAAATCCGAGGCATCATTGGAGGCAAATCCTCGGACAAACCTTGTCTGAGGTTTTTGCCCAAGGTATTTTTTTGCCCTGAGAATTACCTCGGATCAAAACCTCGGGAAGCTTCCGTCCGAGGTTTTGCATCCGAGGATACCTCGGATTTTGTAATCCGAGGTAAATATGTTGGCGGTGAGGGGGTTTGGGGAGAGGCTGCACATTAACATCAAAACAATCAAGCGGCAACAAAATTACAATAAAATTACATATAAAATGGTTACTACTACAGCATGATCTTTTCTTATTTTCTTTTTTGGTATGGGTTACGAACAAGTGGTATGAGTGAATGAGGAGGTTGGATTGTGTAGGACAGCTATGATGATTACGGTTGTGGAATTTTTTTATCTGAGGTGTTGGCGGTTTTGATAGGAGACTTGAAACTTAGTATGGGATTAAACGACTACACAACTCTGGGATATTTACTTATAGCTTACATTTTGAAGATAGTTGATACATGTATTCTTGTGATATAGTACGAGTTAATATCCGGGACAGACTCCGGTGCGCATTACATTAGTGTCAAGGCCTAGTTTAGAGGTTACTTGGGAATTGGTTTATTTAGTAGTTTGATTAAGGGAAAATGAATTATGGAAAACATATCAAATAAGTATAGTTACTAGTGGACGGAAAGGAGTTAGTGGAATAGTTTAATTTAGTATGACGTGGAAGGTCACTGTTTAAAATGTGTTGTATAAATCAAAAAAAGGTGGACATAGTGGTTTTTTGTCTAAGTTGGGGGAGGTGGCTCAAGAATTTAAAGAGAAAAATTCTTAAAAGGCAACTCACAATCATTCCAACAAAATTGGTTCTTTATTATTATTCACGATTTTTTCTGCAAGATTTTCCAACTACAACTTTATTCATAAGATTTTTTTTGGCTTCAATACTTTAGCAGGAAATGGATAACAAGGATTGGCGTACAAGAAGTAAACGGTAAAGACAGAAGAGAAAGTAGAAGAAGACTTAAACAAAGAAAACAACAGCTTTAATCTTGATTGCAAGCACGCTTTTTACCCTTGTCAGAAGAAGAAGTACTAGGATCAGTAGACTCAGAAGAAGGGGGATACATGATCAAATGAGCAACAAGAGATTTTAACCTTTGAATAAGACGGACTCTAGCGTGGACCTCTTTTTCAGAGTTGGGATCAAAGACGGACCAATGTTCATACAAGCTTTCTACCATAGATTGAGTAAGACTAGCAATGGTAGCGGCGGAGGAAGTAGAGGGAGCATATTTACCTACACGTCTAATTTCTTCAGATACATCTACCTTTTTAGCAAACCAGAAAAGAACAGCTTTATCACCATACTTCTTAATACATTCTTCAATCACATCATCTAAAGAAGGAGCGGGAACAGGTTCTGGGTCTAAGTCAATAACAGGGTGGGGGTCTAAATCAATAACATTGGCAGGTTTGGGACGAATAGAGTTGGAAGAAAAGTTAGGAGGTTTTTGAGTAGGAGGAGGAGTAACATCAATTTTAATTGGAGGGGTCTTAGGACGAGCAGGGACAAAGGGTGCAACAAAGAGATCAAGAGCAGGTGGTGAAGAAGGTTGCTTAGGAGGAGGCTGTTGAGGAGCCTGAGGTTGAGGTTTTGGCGCCTTAGGAGGAGGACGGTGGTGACGTTTGGTGTTGGGCGACTTGGTGGAGACATTGGGCAAAAGAGGGACGTTTCCGCGGTTGTTCCACAAGCAGATGTCAGCTTTCCATTTTGCAAAGAACTTAGGGTTAGTAGGTTTGTCCGGTTTGGAGGTCCAAGCTAGGACTCGAGCACAACGGGCAGCTTCCGTCTTGTTGTCGGCACCGGGAACATAAGGGGAGACAGTTGGAGGAACCACGATGTTGCCTTTGGAGTCAGTAACGGGTGGCCAGTCTAGGAAGAAGAGACGGACATTAGAGAAGGAGAATTCAACAAATCAAAGTGAATCAATACACATTTACAAGAGGAATTTTAGGGGATAACTTACCACAATACATGCCACATCTAGCGCACTGATCACAACTCTCAGCGGGAGCAAGACCACGAGGTGGAGCTGAGTTGTACACAATCCAAGTATGGGACCAGTCATCCTCCATGCAGGAAGAACAGGCATAGGGTTGGGGTTTGTGAGCATTGGTAAACATTTTCTATACGCACATTACATAGGTGGAAGATAGACATAAAGTACAAGTTAGTCACGAAAAGAAGGGAATTAAAACAGAAAGGTACATACCTGGGTTTGAGAACAACGAGCAAAATTGCAATTCAAGATCAAGAATTAACAATAGACATGACATCAGGATATGTATAAATCAATGTGGGGCAACGCATCAGTAAAGGAACTAATCTTTAATTGAAATATTTGCTGAAGGATTAAAAGACACGATCAATTACTGTAATCAAAATGGGTACTACACTACAACAATTAAAGAGGCAAATAAAGAGAGTCAAGATAAGCATAACTTGTTAGTGAACAGATTGAACAGCAAAGGTCTGTTAAAGTTAACACACCTAGGGAGAATGAGTGAAATACAAGTAAGGGTAAAGGTCTTGGTGACGAAATGGAGCAAATTCGATAGTGGTAAGTAAAATCAAAGCAAAAAGAGCAGCTATAGGTGTTAAACTACGGAAACAATTGAACGGGATGTTGAAAAGTACCGAGGGGAGTTTTTCAAGGAAATCAATAAACAAGTTCTATTCAGGACAAATAGTGAAGTTGGGGGAGGATGTGGAAAGCAAAAGAGCTTCCTTCCTTCTCCTTTGATACCCATCCTATCCCTCTCTATCTCGGACTCAGCTCAGCAAATTCTTACTCTCAATAGGGACAGCTCTTGTGTCTCAATTTCAGTTTCAAAAAGAACTTTTTTTTATTTTTATTATTCAAATTGAAATTGCCTTAGGATTCATATTACATAAGACAGAAGAGGCTAAACAAGATAAGACAAGACACTAAAGAAAATAAAAGTTAAAAAGTTAAATAATAATATAAACAATTTAAACAACAAACATAAACAAAGAACAAAGAAAGATAATGAACGAGTGAAAGAAAGAAAAAGAAAGAAGACAAAGATTAGCAAAATTATGAGGAATGATTTAAAAGAAACAAAATAAGAAGACACTTACGAGAAAGGGGTAGAAAGGTAAAGAACCAAGATTGAAATCGATTTGCCAAGAGGTTACTAGCTAAAAGTTAAAGAAGACATAATGATGTCAGTAAAAAAAAAGTTCAATTGAGAAAAGAAATAAACATACCTAGAGCAAGAAAGTTGAAAACCAAAATCGAAATAGGAAGGAGTTAAGCTAGGAGGGTGGAAGTGATAAGCTAAAGAAGAATGAGGATGATGTCATTAGTAAAAGAAAGAAGCAATAGAATGAGAAAAGAAGAAAGAAAAGAACATACCTTGGTTCAAAAGATTCAGAATCGAGTCAAGTGAGAAGGATTTTAGCATGAGAATGATTGGAATCGATCAGAACCGGTTGGAGCAAAGAGAAAGAAAGGTGTGAGGCCAACTTGTGGGATGGGGTGTTTGGAAAGGTATAAAAGGGGGTACGGGGTGGTGCTGAAAGGGAATTGCTAGTGCCCGTACAAGGTACGAGGGAGGTCACAAATTGTCCATGTCTGTACTAGTCAGCAAAGACTTTGGGCCAAGCCTGACCGTTGCTCAGGACACCCGCCCAGGATTAGCAAAGCAATCAGGGCAGCAGCGGTCAGGGCCTGGATTACGTGAGGATATCAGAAGGAGATGAAGGTCCCAAGATCATTCTTTCCCCCACTTCTGATTAATACAGAATCTCGTATCCTCTAGTTGGATAGCCTGCCCGACGTCCTTCCATTCCGTCATCTCGTCATTTCTCACATTTTTCGTTATTATCCTTATAATAGTAGAAATTTTAAAACTTATCCATTTGAACTTATCAATTTATAATCGTTTTTACAATCGACATGACGGAACGTACAAGCAGAAAGAAGACTACAACTGGAGATAAAGAAGTAGAAAACAACTTATCAGTTAATACGCAAGGAGAACAATCAAAAACTCCTGCAAATAATCAAAGTAACCAAGGGAGTGTCAAAAATCCCGGTTTAAGTCAAAACCAAGGAGATTTAGAGAAGTCCAAGAATCTCGGTTCAAGCTCATTGACTCAAGACCAAAGAGATTTAGATCAATCTAAGAATCTTGGTTCAGTAGGGAAGACTACAGAGTTAAATGATAGCCAAGAACATGTTGATAAAAGTAACAGTTCGGTTTTGAAAAGTAAGATCAAGATAATTTTTAATTATTGATATATCTGTCCTTTTTACACTTCATTAAAGATAAATAACTTATTTATACACTTTGTTTTTAAATAAGTAGGTTTGGAGAAAACTACAAATAACGATAATGTAATCATTGGGAGTAACCCTATCATAATTGAAGATTTGGCAGGTAAGCTTTAGAAATGTATAATTTGATGATCGAATTGAAAAATTGAAAATTAAAATGTTATGTTCAATGAATAGATGATCAAGGATCGGATAATTCAAGCGACTTGGTTAATGCTAATCTATTAGATGTGAACAACGCCTTCAAACAAATCCCAGTGAGGAAGAGTAAGGTCCAAATCCCGTAAATAATTGTAAGAGAAATAAAATTATTAAACTTATGATATACTTTTTGACATGAATAGGTACACCAAAGAAGATTAAACCAAAGTCGGTAATCTTAGAAAAAGTAGGTAGTGACAGTCAATTAGTAAATCAAGCTTATTTGAACACCTTAAAGAGCATACCAGAGAATGTACAAAGTAAGCAAATGATTCAATATAGACATTTCAATTATAGATGCTGATGAAACATGGATTGTAGGAGATTCTGTGATAATAAGCGCAAATAACGAATTCGATAACAATATCGATTTGACAGATAAGAATGCAGTACTCAAAAAGGCTATGGAATTGACAATGAGTGGTGATAGCCAAGGTGCAACTAAATATTTAAAAGTGTATGAAGTGTTAGGACATCTAGATATCATAGTCCAAAGACCATCAAGTAAAAGAGCGACTTCAGCAAACCCTCTTTTAAATGAAAATCAAGTAGAAGCAAGAGCAGACGGTGGAATTTTTGAGAACGGGATGTGGTTCTTTCCTGACAGAACAACTAATTATCAAAACCATAGTTATACTGCTTTCTTCAATAGAAACATTAAAGAATTAAGATATCCAATTCCTCTAACTATTTTTGACAAAGACTGGCAAAATAAAGCAATGGGATATCATGCTAAGAAGAAAGTAAAATCCATTGAAGGTGAATTGAAAAACAAATCGTGTACAGGTTTGCCATATGCAGATGAATGGCTTTTGGATTATGGAAATTGGAGCATTCATTATAACGGATACATAAACGCTCTGCGAAATGTAGGGGAATTCACAAGATTTGTAGATTGGTCCTTAGCTCATAAAGTAAACGTAGAAAGGGTAATGTCAGAGATGGGATGGTTGACAGCTCTGAGATATGATATAAGAGTTTGAGAAGAAGCGTTGGTGAATAGGAATGAGGTGGAATGTTTTTGTAGCCCCCCCAAATATCTCGATCTACAATCCAGTATTGGCGGAGGAATGTTACCAAGCATCCAGAAGCAGAAGTAAGCAATGAGAAGTCTTATGGTTGAGTCTCTGTAGAGAAGTAACTAAAATTTTGATTATTGTTGTGACTTGTAGATGAAACTTCATTCGAAAAGAACCCTTATGTAGAAGGCGGTGAAAGATACGGATGGGATCCGGCGACTAGTAAACCGCCTAAGAAATTCGAGAAGTCTAATCAATATCAGAATAAAACCAGTTTTCAAAATAAACAACCTTACCAAAAATGGAATAACCAAACGACTAGTGGAAGTGGACCTAGTGGATATGGTGAGGGATCATCATTGATTAACAAACCTTTTGAGAAAAAGAAGTCCCAAGGAGGTTACTTTGGTAATGATTTTGATGAAGACTATAAAGAGAAGAAAGCTGCAGAAGCACCAAAAAACAAACAACCGGAGAAGTAGGTTGCTTTTCATTGTTTGTTCTTTGTCTGATTTGTGTTTTTATAGATTTTTCCCTCGTTCAGATTATAAGAAAGATTTTTATTTGTAATCAGATCGCATTGTTGTTTTTGTGAAATGACAGATTTATTGATGATTGTTTGTACATCTTTGTGAATCATGATATTTAAGTGATCTTAGAAATGGAATGACCCAAAGAAATGAGTTACGATCGAGAGAACACTATGAATCAAGTGGAAATGAGATAGTCGAGAGCTTAGTAAGAGAATGTTGAATCTTACCAGAAGGCTGGCCAATAGAAATCAACTGTGAAATGGATGTTAAGAGATGGGAAGAAGCTCTGAATCGACATGGATTGATGGAAGAATATAGAGATGTTGTAGAAGGTTTTATCCATGGTTTTGATCAAGGCATTCCAGAGCATCGATTACCATACCCAAATGAAAACTATTTCACACCCGAAAATCATACATTGTCAAGTTTAGCTTCAGAGAAGATAATCGAGTCAATGAAGAAGGAAGTGAAGGCAAAAAGGATGTACGATCCCTTTTCACATGTTCAAATGTTGGGAGTTTTCAAATTCTTCAGATCAAGTCCTTTAGGAGCAGTTATAAACGGTGATGGGTCACTTCAACCTATAAATGATCTTTCTTACCCTTGCAACGACTCGCTGATACCATCGGTGAACTCATTTGTGAAAGCAGAAGATTTTAGGACAACATGGGATGATTTTGACGTCGTAGCGTCTTTTTTCAAATCTTTGACTACTCCATGGTTGTTAGGTGTTTTTGATTGGAAAAAGGCCTATAGGCAGATTCCGACAAAAATGGATCAGTGGAAATATTTATTGATAAAAGACTTTGACGGTAACCTTATGTTGGATACTGGGATTGCTTTTGGAGGCGTAGCTGGATGCGGGTCATTTGGAAGGCCTGCAGACGCTTGGAAGCATATAATGATGAGGGAATTTGATTTGATTACGGTTTTTAGGTGGGTATATGAAAATTTGTTCATCAAAAGAACTGGCTCAACGGTGGAAATGAAAGATATAGCAGAAAGGTCTCAACAATTAGGTCTTTTGACAAATTTAGAAAAACTATCAAATTTTGGTCACAAACAGAAATTTATTGGGTTTATTTGGAATGGCTCAAACAAAACTGTTTGATTGCGTGAGAATAAGTTATTACAAAGGAAAGAACGACTTAAAGAATGGTTGGTACCGAATGTCAAAATCACCTACGACAAATTAGAAGTATTTATTGGAAGGCTTAATTACGTCACGTATATACTCCCGCAATTGAGATGCTACCTTAATAGTTTATGCAGAATGAAGAAGGAGTGGGTGAATAAATTTGCGACGAGGAAGTTGGATTCAGATGTGTTGGAAGACCTGGAATTCTGGTTAGAAACGTTAAATGAATTTAGAAACATGAGATTGGTAGCTTCAAAGAAACCTAAGGAAATCAATTGGGTCGGTGATGTGTCGACTTCCTTTGGGATTGGAGTCTTGGTTGGCAAGAAGTGGTGCCAGTTCAAGATGTTATCAGGTTGGGAGATTAGCGGAAAGTACAAACAAAACATAGCATGGCTTGAAACTGTGGCAATTATGTTGGGGTTCTTAATGCTAATTGATATGAAAGTTTTGCGTGGCCAGAACCTGATTGTCTGGACAGATAACACCACTTTGGAGGGTGTTATTCAAAATAAGAAGTCACGAGACAGCGAGGTTAATAACAAATGGAAGATCATTCAGCAATTGTCAATCAAGCAAGATATGAATTTACATCCGATGAGGGTGACCACCAACAAGAACATAGTGGACGCCTTATCTCGAGGCATCATTGATGATGTGGATGATGCAGATCAAATGTTTGTACAAATTCCAAATGACTTAGTGGGAATTTTGGAAAATGCCACAGTAGCTCGACCGATCAAAGGTCCCTTGTAATCTACTCACTACATGCTGTCGAATTGAAATTGTAATGACCGTCTGTTCGTAAATGTTACCAGTAAATCTGAGAACAGACTTTGTACCTGATTAAATGAAAAGAGATAGTACTCTCTCAGTTTTGGATAAGTGGGCGCCGTTCCTTTGGCACGCTTATTTGGGAAATCTTTCCCGTGATTGTTACGACATCCAATTTCTGAAACACCCAATTTCCTGTCTCTTGACAGTCAGACGAACGTTAGTTATTAGGCGGCTCTAGACAACCGGGGCACTGTAGGATCCTCTTCGTCTTTTTGAGTATAGACGTTCTGCTAACTCGTTTCATTTAGTTTTGTCTTTAAGATATGAGTAGTGACATTAATTTACGCAATCTACGGGAATTTGTCTTGAATTGCGGAACTGTCTTGACAGAGCAACATCTGCATTTGCTGAACGGATGGAAACATAACACTTGACTCAGCTACAACGGTGCCGTCAAGAAGTTCTTGAAATACCTAGAGTCTCAAGCTATTGTCGACTTCGTCTTGCCAGCTAGTCCATCAGACATTTACGGCTTCTGTTTTTGGGCGGGACAAAACAAATTTGGATCAAATGGAAATGAGATCAAAGCTACAACCCTTCAAAAATACCTCTTCAGGCTGCAAGCGTGGCACCTGCTTCATGACAAACCGTACTCTCACGTAGCAGATCAACACATGAAGGTCATGATACGTGCATCAGCTCAGGCGGACGCCTTACTGCCAGTCAAGCAACCAAAGTCGGCAGTGACGATTAAATACATGATGGCCCTCTTTTGTGCTTTGAGCACGGGCGACGCGAAAGACATGGCGATCTTGGGTTGCGCCATCTGCGCCTTTTGGGGTCTAGCGCGTCTAGCCGAACTGACTTACAATATCTCGTGTGGCGACACTAGCTGGATCAATTTGGTATGGTGTAAAGACGTAGTCAGGACACATGACACGTCCAATTCATTCACCCTTCAAGTGCGGGGCGCAAAGACGGCTAAGGCAGGGGTGGCTCAACACATCCTTTTGGTAGGCCAACCAAATATCTTGTGCCTGGTGAAGGCCGTATTGAGACGCCTGGCAACCACGGCTAATGGATCCGACTCACTGTTTGGATATCAAGCACTCGATGGCTCTTGTCGGAACTTGACTCGGACGATGGTAGCTTCAAGGTGTATTTGCGTCTGGGAGTCTCATGGGTGGTATGGAATCTCCGGCCACTCGTTCCAAGTGGGTGGAGCCTCTTTTCGAGCAGCGTTGGTGATCTCTCACCAGGACATAATGGTTTTGTGACGCTGGACTTTGCAGTGCTATAGGCTGTACATCCGAGAGTACTCACCAGAGGATCTCGCTGAGACGGTGGCGTTGCTGAATGTCATTAATGGAGAATTTTGACTCAGGTTAGCACAAGTTTGGGGTTTTTGCGTAGGCTCAGGCTTGCACACAAACCCAAGTTTTGGGTGTATTGCTAACCCCATTCTTGTGCGTTTTCCTAAACCTAGGCTGGTTTACTCTGCGTGTCAGAGTGTTTTCCCTTCCCCTTCCTCGACTGGTCCCTTGACAGCTGATAGTTCCAAGGGCCTGACCCTAACGCAGCTTTTGCCAAACGTTGTCAGGGGGAAGAAGAAACCACCTCTCCCTCACACCCCATACATACTGTATGGCGCTCACGCATTATAAGCTATAAAAATATGAATTGAAATAGAAATATAATTACATCTGTTTAAGACAGGAGCAGACTTATGCTCAACTAATGTGTTAAGTGAGAACATATGAGATGATAAGTGCTGACCGTAACAAATGGATCATCATGTGGAGGATCAAGATTGAATCGATCAAAAGTGTGTTTTTTTGGTGTTATTGAGTTTATGTGGTTTTTAGTCTAAAGTGTTCGCATTAAAAGTGTTAAAGGTGCGAGTGTTCTAGACATAAGGATAAGAGGAAAGAGAATTTTTTTTATTAGTTAGTTAAATAGTTTAAAGTCAAGTGTTAGAAAGAAAAAACTTACCAGAAAGGGAATAAGTGTTGTAGTGGTGTTTGATCTTATACGTTGAAGTTGATTGGTGGAAGGGTTGTTAGATTTTTATTTTATTTTTTTTATTTTTTTGAGATTTGGTAGCTTCGAGTCAGGGCCAGTCAGGGCCAGTAGGAAAAGGACTGAACCTGGGTTCAAATCCAGTTCAGGTTGTGATTTTTAAATTTTATTTTTTTATTTTTTTACTTAAATTTGTGTGTGTGGCTCAGTTGTGGGTGGATAATTAGGGTTAGAAAGCTTGTATATCCTTGTAAGCGGTAAACTAGGTTTACAGAAAACTTGTAACAGCGGGGTTGTAAAAATTTGTCTCACGTATTCTTTTTAGAACTTTCTTTAGGTTGAAGGCAGCTTCACAGCACCGTAGTTTCATCCGTCCTCCTTGACGGTGATTCTTACCTTCTCCGGCTCAGCCTACGCTACACTGCGTAGGAGTTCTACACCGTGAGAACCAAGCCAATTCCCAGTGAATGTTATGTCTGACAGAAACTTACACAATGGGTGCGTGGTCGGACAGTCAACATCCGACAAAAACAACAATCTCCTCAAAACAATCTCTGGAAAGAGATCTGTCCTAAGAAAAGAATGGTCAGGAAAAATAATTGGCTTCACTTGGAAATGCTATTATAACTAAACTTATGGTGTGATATGACAATTGGTATAGCTGTTCAAATATTGAGTGGATTCATTTTCCCGTCTGCTGGTTGCGAAAAATCTTCCCCACCAAGCATCCAAGCTTTTGCCACATTGAGACTGTTTCTCTGACACTGAGTGGCAGTCCAAAGACATCAAGTATCCTTTGGTGGGGATGGTGTGGCAAAGTCAACAGTACACTTCAATCATGCACCAAATTGATGAACTTTCTTTTGTATATTGCTCATCTCCGCAAGGTGAACTACTTTAATCCCCCAGGTTTGATCAATGCCGTACCAAGGCCTCTTGCACTGATTCAGGTTCTGCTATTTGTCCTGGAATTCCCAAGAATTGTTATGATCCGCTCTTTCTTCTTAATCTGACTGATGAAAAGAAAAACGCCCTTTGTATCAAGCCTGTGTCAGCTCTCTTGAATACTCTACCTAACAAGATTCAAGAATTTCTCCCTTAGTTTATATTTCAATGAGGCAGTACCAAAGATCTTTTTGTTTATGATCTTACCCACACATAGTAGAAAAGCCGTTGAGTGTGTATATAGTGTATATAGAAGATTACCGTGTATTACAAAAAATGAAATGACCACATTAATTATCTACATATCATGAAAAAGTACAATGAAAGTTGAATAACAATACATCCTTCCCGTACTCATTTTTGGATTGGAGTCTCATTTCACTCCAAAGTTGAAGTGAAGTCGGCCATACTCTAATGACATGCATAAGTCCGTCAGCTTTAGAAACACCTCCTTACACAGAAAATGGAAGGAGCTGACCATACTTCAAAGGCTGACTAAAGAGACAGTCAACTTTTCAATTCCAAAGGTTCCTGCTGTGTTATGTAATGCGGCACAATAACACAAAAGATCCTTTGTACGCAACGATTGAAGGTGAAGATTTTGGTTGTACTGGACTTTGGTGTTTAGGTGTGGTAGCAAACAATAAGGGTCTCGAGGCTCATCAATCTTTTCAAGATCTTGGAAGACGTGGAGAGCAAATACCGGCTTGGAAAGCCCCTGTGACCGTATAATGTGATGGATCACACCAAAAGATTTAGTCCCCTGCAAGTTAAACTCAACATAACTGTTCCCGGCATTTTCATTGTATGTGCTGAAAGATTTTCTGCCATGTCTCCAATCTGACGTCATCTGTAAGCTGGGGTCGGTGTCCAAACCCATATCTCTCAAAATTGAGATGACTGATGCTCTTATCTCTTCCGTAGGAGAAAAGTTCTTCCCTTTGGACAAAGGCGTTTTCAGGATGATGTGAGCTCCAATTTCCTTGCCATAGTCGGGAGAGATATTACTGAGAAAATTGAGAAAGAAACCTTGCTCTGTATGCTTCTTGATCATGGTCTGTCCAACAACACCTTGAAATAGGTTTTCGAGAGGTGTTGATAATCATCAAATTTAAACATTGAATCTATATTGTTGGAAATCAAACACTCACCATGGTCCCCATTTTTGGGAAATGCAACCATTGTACCAATAATACGCTCTCCAGCCCAACATGCTGTGTATGAAGGGGGTTCAAGAAGACGGCACTGAGCTGGTAGATGTTGGGCAAAATGAAGGTTGGGTTTTGCATTGATCCCGGGCCAGTTTTCTAGAAGGTGGTGGCAATAATTCAAAGGCAGATGTGGTAGTGTGTCCACGTCCTGAGGGCAGAGCGTGTGTGATACACTTATGTTCACAATCTGTGTAGCAAGTACAATGCCCGTATGAATCTTTGAAGCATCCGAGTGTGGTTCTGCATTGGGGTAAGAAGGCACAAGTGAAAGGACCATGTACACAGTGTACAGGCTTAACCACTCGGCAGATTTGGGTGTGCCGCACATATGCATCCCTACTTTTGCTGGAACACGAGTTAGCCAAGAGGGGACAATAGTATTGGCAACTGTCTGGTGAATCATATCAAGCTTGTCTACGGAAAGGGTGGGACCAGCGGGTGATATGACTGTGCTATCTGAATGTTTGGAAGGATCGGAGCCGTTTCCACTGGGTTTGAAAGAACTTTCATTATCAGGAGGATTTCCACTGGCTTGGAAAGATCTTTCCATTTGCGTGCGAGACTTAGCAGCACGAGAATATATAGTGGCTTCAAGCGCTTGAACCTACTGATGATTGATTATGATCGAGTGAAGAGCCACCTTTGTTAAGGTTGCTCATTTCAACATCAAGATCTCCAAGAGCTGAATTATGCTCAGACGTAGGATATTTGCCATGATCAATCCTGAGATCCTCTTGCTTTTTCAGCTGCTTGCCTGCGGTCGGAATTTGGAGGTCTGTGTTTGAAAAGTCTGCTGTTAGCCCAAGGATAATACAATGCATTACATTGAAAGTGACAAAATCTAGGGGCTGCCAGTAAGGTAGCTTGTAAAACGCGGAATTGCAAACCCCATCGTCTTTCATCAATTTCTCTTGGGCCTGTGGAGTTTTTGCTTCAAGCCATTTCTGTGCTTGGTGTTTGTGCGTGAGTGCAGTCCAGGTTTTGAATACTTTGATATCAACATAGTTAATGTCATCCAATGTTATGTACCGTTTTGAACAAAAATTTGTGGACCTATGTCCAGAAAAACCAGAATTTTTTTTCATGGCAGGTACATCAGCAAGGAGAAGAAACAAAGCAGCGCGGATGATTTGTCCTTTGGGGTGTCGAGAAGTTTTGGTGAATCTGATGCCTTTCCACAAGTCTTGAAGTTCAGAAATTAAGTGTGCTAGGATATAGTGCATCTGTTCACTGATGGGTCCTTGTTGGCTGGGAGTGTTACCATAAACAAACAAATTCTCCGCTTTGTATTGAATGCCAGGCGGCAGATTGAAACATATGAGGGTAATGAGCCCAGCGCTATGTTTGTGTCCTTGTTTGGTTCCGTATGGATCAAACCAGTCGGATTAAAATCCAAAAACTAGATTCCCAGAGATGCGGGTGAAAATTTGGCCATTCTGTTTGAAACTGTTCCAGAGGGTCCCATCCCAGACATCTTGCAAGAGTCCTGATTGTGGCCGGATCCTACTCAGGGGTGCATTGAGATTTGTATCAAAAGAATGGTGTTGTGACATTTTGGCTAGCCATTCAATTAACTTCTGATGATGAAAGATTTGAACAGGCTGGACTGAAGCAGTTATTTTGGCTTTTTATTTGTATAGTAGCAATTGCAAAGGAACTTTGGCTTTGAAGACTTTGTTCTTGAAAAACAATAATTGTCGCAAAGTGTCTTACTTGGTCAAATTTCAGGTTGACCGTGTAGTGAGAAACATATCTCACATGAGACTGTTTTGATCACAGGTGCTTGTAAATTCACACACTTGAGAAGCCTTGGCATATTTGTGGGGATATCTTCCCATATGGGGGCTGTTTGTGGGTTGATTTGGGTGAGGGTGGTCTGCAATTTGTGCCGCTCCATGTGTAGTGAAGTTTGACACACTTTCACCAAACCATGCTTGATAAGATGTTCGTTCAGCACTTGTATCATGGACTGAACACAGGATGGGTGTTGAAGCAGGGTTTGCGGCGTGTAAAACGACAAGGTACAGAATTCAAGTGGGAAATCAAGTCAAAACGTGAACTGCTGATTGATGGGGAGGGATTCAGAGTCAACTGCGCGTGAGGTGGAAGCTAGGCCCTTGGAATTGATATGTAAATTGAGCACACATTGTTCTCCAACCATCAAGTGTGGAGCCTTGTGGAGAGGGAGCTGAACAGGGCCTTCATGGCTCAAGAAGTCCGTAGATTCAGGTGATCTTGCTTGTTTGCCAATGATAGGAATGGCAGCCGTGGTGTCATTGCGGTTATCATTGAATGGAGCAGATGCTGTGGAAATGATTGTCATGAGACAAGATTCACAACTGTTGATGGATGATAAACTTGCCTTGTTTCGGAGTAGATTGACCAATGGATTCTCTTTGATGACAGCCATAATTGGTTCAATGGAACAGCCTCCCCATATGAGTCTCTCCATTCTTCTCAAATTGAAGCTGAGAACAGCCAAGAAGTTTGCAGGTGCAGCAAATGTGATCTGGTCCAAAATACGCCATGTAAATTATTTCAATACAAAATAAGAAGTTGGACAAGCGAGTCGGTAATATACAAAGGTGAGAAAGGACACAACTTTGGCTCTTATCGTGGAAAAGTAAAGAATAACTAGTTGGACAAGCAAGCCACTAATATACAACAATGAGCAAGGACACAACTCCTGTTCTTATCATGGGAAAGTCCGTCTGCCAAAATAAGGGTACACTGGGTTGTTAAGGTTACCCTTCTTGGGATATGTCCAACCGCCAGTTGAGTAGGTAATATGTTTCTTGGGTTTTGGTTTCAGAGCAAAGAAATCGAAGTTTGTGATGAGGTAATATATGTACATATATTAACTCTCCAAACTATGAATGAGGGTTGAGGAAACACTCATACAAATTGATTGATCAAAGAGAGCCTGCTTGCGTAAAAAAAACAGGTGATACTTGTTTGCTATGGTAAGAGCTGGTGCATTTGAAATCCCTGTATTGAAGCACCACATTTTGCTAGACGTGGTGCTTCAACTTGTAAGGATTTGGATTTCAGGTCACTCTATGAAAGCACCGCATCTTGCGAGATGTGGTTCTTCATTCAAATTGTGAAGATTACCAAGACATGACCCTGTTCACGTTTGCCATGCAGCAACTTAGATATAAATTAATCAATTGATTGAAGTAATCCTGCTTGTGAAAAAATTGTGTCACACATGTTCGCCAAAGTAAGATTGGTGGATATATCCAACAGTCAAAGTACAAATAGGAGGTTGGGCAAATTTTCTTCTTCATCAAATAAAAGTGGCCCACGTAAAAGACGTCCAACTCATTTGGAAAACATGGTGGTGAGGGGTTGCCCCTCCCTCAATTGTAAGGTCCAATCAGATATTGTGTTTTGCAGCGGCTCACCTGGAATGCAGCTTCAGGGTTAGCAGTTTAAAAGCTGCTGAGCGGTGGTAATTATTCCTAGAAAGCTTGATCTAAAAAACACCAAGGATACATATGTTGGAAGATCAGACACTTCTGTGTCCCAGCAGATCAGGATGTATGACAGAAGACCTATGAATTTTGATCACATGTGTATATATACTATCAACAACTATTTACACCATCTACACGTGTAGAGACTGAGTACGCTCAGCGCTCAAATAAAAAGAAGAAATCACATTGAGATCACAACAATGTTTCACTGGTACTATCAACTTGACGTAGCAAACTAGAAATTTTGTTTAGAATCATTTATACATAGAAAATACGGAAAATGAGAGTTCAGATTGGTGCATTTCCGCAAATGGCGACGTCAGGGAGAACACAAGGAAAAGGGAGGATCAAGTTTGAGAGCTACTGAAATTGACATCAATGATAACTTGAACACATAGCTTGCAGTGATGATGATTGTTAATGCCTTATAGGTTGAGTTTCTCAACCTGTTAACATATTCAAAGCTGACACACTTCCACCTGCTTCTTCAGCAGCCAGAATGGCGATGGATCTAAAAGATATCTTGATACCATCAATAACTGACCTAATATCCACTGGGCTGTGATCACTCAATTGCAACTCATCTATGACCAAACCTTCTTGTGCTTCATACCAGATTGGCAAAACAAGAGACAGTTAATACCCTCTTGGAGGGAAGCAGTCGGGATCAGGATCAGGGGCGTATACACCCCTATCAATCAGTTCTTTTGCCCTTTTGATGTCAATTGGGATTTGCTTGCGCTTCCAATGAGCCAGGTCCAGTAGAGCAATGAGTGTGTCCAAGTCTGAACTTCTCCATTGCAGCCTTAACTTTTGACGAGAGTTTGATGTGACAGCTTCATCATCCAAATGGATATCCGGATGAGACAACATCTCAACCTCTGCTGAATCTTGGCAAAAACGTCTGACCGTGTTAGCCAACCTAGCTTCGTAAAGCTTTGACAAATACATACACATTAGCATTCCAGTAGTACCTCAATCATATCAAGATACTTCTGCTCACTTTAGTTTCTTGCTGTCTTTTCCTTGTGCAACTTTTTCTAGAGGACATGTTGGCCTCCAGTGTTTTTTGCCCCTCAGGAGTCTTCATCAACTTGCAATTCCAAGTTTGTTCTCAATATTTTGCACCTTTCCCGCCGCACAAGCGTCGGAGCACTTCTTCACGATTTGAAGCAGTATTATCGGAGACAAGGATCCCAAGCTGTCTTGCCGAGTTTGCTTCATAGGCCTTAACCCATTGGGCTAAAATGATGGTGGAGGTAGCTTAGTTCCAAGGGGAACTGTATGAGGCTTGCCAATCAAAGGTACACCTGGGAAAACCCGCCATTGCCAAGCTTGCTGTACATTGAGATACAAAGTGATGAGGATATCTTGATCAAGTGTTTGACAAGATGCCCGAGGAGAAAATTACCGGTTGCATCGGATTTTTCAGAGTTGCCATTTCCACTGTGTCCTTTTCAACCATCCTCTTTTGTTTGCGGTTTGGTTTGAAACCAGCAGGTTTTTTCAAAAGGTATTGTAGCATGGCTTTGTCATGTGCTTCTCAAATAAATAACTCTCAAGCTTGTCTTTGATTCAGCCAATTGTTGCGCTCCTTGTTGGACGGAGGGTCAGGCAGCTTTTTGAGCCCTGCAGATGCCAAATTGGAAGATCCCCTTGCTTTGCACGGAACACCCATGAGCTTGCAATTGAACTCATGGATTACCCTGGCAAAAGGTGTTGCCGCTTCTGGAATCAGATGGGAGCCAGCTTTCTGTCCAATTCCTTCATTCCTGTGCCTGATTGCAGTAAGTACTTTCAATTTTGTGGCAATCTTCCTCTTCCGTTGTAAGACCTCTTCGTGTGTAAGATCACCATCTGGTATCAATGCGCACAATCCGTCAGTCCCACTACTGTACATAATGTGTGTTACAAATCACCCGGTAAGCACAACCCACCAGAACTTTCTTCCCACCCTGAATCTGATCCCAAAGCATTCAAGTCTTCTTCTGTTACCAAAGTTTTTGACCAAGATGTCAGCCATTCAAATGTTCAACTGCACATATGAGACAGATTTTAATTAATCAGGCACAAACCCTCAGTTTGTAGAGAATCTTTGTCAAGGCGTCTTTTTTTGCCAGGACCATTGGACGCACTAGGAGTAAGTTGTGTTGTTGTTATATGAGATCTCATGATCAAATTTACACAAGAAATATAGAAGATAAAGCAAATGTAGTTATGTTGTAAGAGAATGGAAAAGAGGTCACACAGAAGCTTTACACAGTCTTTCAAGAAACAGACAAAAAAATTGCACTTATGATTGAATCCAGAGGGGCTTTCCACAAACAAATCCACACTCTTCAACAACACCCCCGTTGATCATGATTGTTTGGTTTCTGTTTGTGTAACTGATCTATGGTGTGCTCGCACCATACAAATGATTGAAAACCCTGCATCCCAGTCACCATGCAATGACTGGTTTGATATTCACCAGTGAAGTTTGACGTCAATTGTTTCACCCCCATCAATTCTACAACGTCCCAACTTAACCTGTCCTACAAATGGTGTCAGCCCTGAGTACTAAACCAGAGTATCAATGGACGACGTATTGTAATAAAAACCTTAGAAATAGCAATTACAACTCAAGGCTCAGTTTCAAGAGTCAAGTTACATATGATTTAGCATATGTAACATGTGCAGAACTTACATCAAAGGGTGTGAACATACATAACTTTGATGTAAACCAAAACTACATATATTTCACAGCCTTAACACGTATGTAACACGTGAAATATACTTATAACCCAATAGTAACTGTCTTACTGTAATTAACCTAACCATAGAACCACAATTTGTGCGCACTTGTAGTCCAAAGATTTCCAAGGTTCAGACTATATAAACCCTGAAAATCCAACCAAATTGAGAGGAATCACATTATCACATTATTATTCAACAACTACACAACTTTGCTTTTATTCATCTTCCTAGAACCTTCGAACTTTGCTTATCAATTACCAAACTTTGAAGGCCTGATTCTACGGAACCTTGAAACTCAAACCTTGTGTCTTGTTGCTTATACTGTGTGCTCATTCAACTTTGTTTCTGATTAGACTTCATAATCAGTAGTTCTTGTAATATCCATTTGGTGGAATTACTTGTAAGGAAGTAGTCCTTGGGTACTGCTTATATCAGATTTGGGATTCATCCGGTATAAGAAACTCCAAATCTACGGGGAAATCTCTATTAGTCAGAGTGTAAAGTTCCCCGGTGTTATAATAGACTTTAACACCACCTTCTTTGACCTTTCTTTGAGTAACAAGAGGATCAAATTAGGATTGACAACTGTGTGTCAGTTGCTCTTATTTTTAATTATTGTAAAGACAATAATTAACTCAAAATCCGTGGGCTAAAGCCTTTGTTTAAAGGTTAACTAACTGGAGTCTTTACTTGTTTATTCCAAGTAAAGCTCTTACGCCCAAATCTCTACCCATTCATACTTGTAGATATTGATCTACACGACTTTGGTAGAAGTTACCATACCTTCTACAACCTTTTTATTGCTTCTACTAGCCTGACAGACGCTAGTAGGCTCACAAATGGCCTCACCATCCAATTGCACAATATGTGCATCCAAGCTTGCTCGAGATCACAATCAGTAGAGCCGAGACCCGTAATACATGCAAACTATGTGTTGCGGATGGCAGACAGGGTTATAGACTTCCCTGTCCCCAGGCCTCTTCAGTTTGTGATCACGGCCAAAGTTAATTGAACATCTGTAAAAGAATTGCTTTCACCCAATTGAAATGAGCTAACGGGTTTTTTCTCGAACCACTCAACAATGCAACTACAGTACGTTTCTTTGCTAGACATCATTGTGTTCCACCTCCCAATCAGGCCGGACTTTGGAGCAGGACCAGCCTCTAACAATCCATTGTTTGTGATGAAAACCCTTGAGCATCACAAATGATGTTCATTCAATTTTTTTCCACGTTTTTGACCTCACATTGCTCTCAAACCCTCCAATTGTACAGGCACAAATTTCCGACTCATTGTCAAAGTATGTATTGTACAAAAAATGTCTTTGTTGACAATCAAAACCATTCTGGACACATCAGTGAGGCAATTTGTATATTGAGCTTGGTACTACACTCAAAGAAGTATAAAGAACATTTATTTGCAATTGGTAAAGGTCCTACACCAGCAGGAGGAGGCATAGGACCTTACCAGATGCAAGTCAACTTATAGAAGTAGTATATTTTTAAGTCTCTAGGAACTGTATAAGCCGGATGTTCTAAACATACTTGGGGACACAGAGCAATGTGAGACCCGATTCAAACAAGTTTTGCCCAATATGCTCTGTGCCAAATTTTGGTTCATGATTCCACTGTACATATTTCCAAAGGGAAAGTATTTGGCAAAACATATTGCCATAGGATTCAAAAGAAAGTGTGCGTTACAAACATCCTGGAGCTGCTGATGCAACAAAGCGTATGACTATCACAAATATAAGACCGACTTCCAAGGGCTCAAGAGCTACCCATTGTGAAGGACAAGATTGTTTTAGGTGATACAACTTTGCAAGAAAGCCCTACACCGCAACAACCAAGGTAAAAAGTTAGCTACACAAGTGAGTCAATTGTAGCTACCAAAATACATACTTAGGAGTCAACTTGTGACCCCTCAATAAGTATTTCACTGCGTGGAGTTTCTCCATCAACACCTCCTAACTGGCCGTGCAACTCATCAAGCTTTTGGTTGATTACATTAATGTCATCCATGGCTTTTTTCAAATTGTTCAAGCGCATGGGCATCAGTTGGTGTAGTTCATTCTTGAACTTGGTCAAATTGGTGATTGATTTTGCTAAGTTGGCCTGTAAAGTCCTGATTTGAGTCTGGAAGCAAGACTCAACATCTTTAAGGATGTCATTGGAGATGGGTGTGTTTGTGACACTTTTGACATTGCTGTCCTCCAGCTCATCAGACAAGACCTCTTTGTTGCTGGGGTAATAACTGTTATGGGCTGGATCCGGATGAAAGTGAAAGTATTTGGCTTTGCTAGCAGGGAAGATTGATGCCATATGTTTGATGTCCGGTAAAGAGGTGTGCTTCATCTTGAGCTCTGAATTCTCCGCTGGGAGTAAGGACTCCTTGAACTTGTTGCTGTACATGTCAGCAGGACGGTGACGTGGAACAAAACCGTAGTCTTTTGAACAAGTGTATATGTACTTATGAGCTGGACGAGTGCTTCCAGGGAAATCATTGCAAGATACAGCATGAAAGTGAACCCAATCCTTGATGAGTTCCATGAGCCCAATTGTTTTTTGAGACCACCATCAAGGAAGTTCAAAGTGTAATTCTTCAACAGAGCAGGTCCCACTAGTGACTGTGACTTTGAAGAACTCCCCCATAACGGTGTAGTTCCGTGGGTGGAAGATGGTTGTCACATTTACGTCAACACCAGACTTAACTAAGTAAGCCTGATATTCTTCAAAACCCTGTTCTCACATGCTTTTCAGCACATCAATTGACAAAAAAGATGAGAATAAAAAGTTTACTAACCTTTTTTTTTGGCTACCATGTAATGATACTCAAGGACCTCCAAGTTTTGACATTTCCCCTTGTACATCACAACATCGCGTTTGAATTGGTGCAAAAGGACAGGTAAGATGTTTTCACGCTTGAGCAAGTCTTTGTCAATTTTGAATTTATAAGCCAGAGATTCAATTGCGCCATTGAAGGAATTCCAGAACACCTCAAGGGCTAAGGTGTTGACGTGATCAAATAGGTTGCTCTCCCAGTCAAAAGAGAAGCAACAAAGGCCCCAGCGCATTAATTCCATCTTGACTGCCTCAAAATCATCGTCTTGGTTCATGTGAATACCAGTCTTGACCAAGTCTGTAATGGCAATTAATGTGGGGGAAGATTTGCCAAAGAGTTGACATCCCACTGGGAAGCGAGCAACCAAACCCTCTTTCTCAGCCTTCGAGAGAGAGGGTGGGATGGGCGAGCAATATGACTCTCGACACATCAGCACACAAAGGTGTCTGCGGACAAGAGACTGAAAAAGACAAAATCAAAAGAATAAGTTGAATGTGAGGTAGTCTAATTGAAAAAACAAACCACATGGACATGAACCATCTCAAATTTTGAAAGAGTACCAAGACTATTAGGGCACATTCGCTTAAGCCATTTCTGGGGAGAAATCACATTCTGCAGAATTTAAATGCCTATTTGGTGGAGCATCTTTCTTTTTTGAATTAAAAAATTCACAGAATGTGATTTCTGGTCAGAAATTCCTCAAGTGAACGCACCCTTAGTTCTACGGACGGCATGTGTCCATCTCTTTACACTCTTAGATTGATTTGGAGAAGTTTTGTGAGGGTTTAAGGGCATTATGGTGCATATTTTGGCAAATGTTTGGTAGCAAAGTATAAGTATTTAGGTTATTTGAGTCAAAGAATTACTTTCTCTGTAGATAATCACAAAGAAATCTTTGAGTCAGGTATGAAGCTCAATGAGGATTTTCAAGGATTCTTTGAGAGCGAGGAGATTATATACGTATGAGGATTGAGCACGTTGGAAAGTTCTCAAAGTTCTTTTGTGGAGGTTACAGCGTACGCCAAAGCTTACAAATATTTTTGTTATATTTACTTCAACATATTTGTGTTAATTCAAGACCTGTTTTGATGTGATCATCTGAGTAGCCAAGCAAAATCCACCTGCCATCTATGCAGTTCTGTTAAAGCACACGAATGGTCTTTGACAAGAGGGAAAGACATGTGTCACATGCTATTGTTTGGTTTCTTTGTGAAAGGTTGCAGGCAGGTCAAACCACAACTCTGCATTCTTTTGGGGATCTTCTATTGTATGTCTTTTAATCTAAGACCGCTTGTAATGTGATCAGCAAAAAGTACCATCCAACTGCTATATATGCAAGTTGTTTGAGATATAAGGCTTGAAATTTTGAGAGGGCAGGAATGGTTTCATCAAAGTGAAATTGAGACACCGGCCTTCAATTGGCGTCAGAGGGGAGAAATGTGGCTACTGCGCAATATATTGAGGATGTCTTTTTAAGAACGGCTTTGGGGGTTGGTAGCTGGGTCACAAACGTTTTGAAGACTGCAATTTGGAACAAAGGCCAATGCTCCTATGTCCTTGGTATTTCACTGTCTAAGCACCTTGACAAAGGACAATTGAGCTCACGTACTGTAGGCTTCTTTGGGAGTTATGTTTTGCCTCTATGAGAAGTCTTTTGTGTGGGCACATCAACATGCTACACGAATACAGACACAGTGAGTGTTATCAAGCAATTTAAGGCAAAGGCTCTTTTGGATGATGCAAGAAAGGTGTTCCCTTGAATTTTCAAGACAATAGAAGACCTACGTGTAGGTCTGACATCTGACTTCAATAGAAACAGTGGAACTGACTTGTGTCTTGTGTTTCCAGATTGTCACAAATTTTCCAGTGTATTCCGGAAGAAGCTCACAGCCTTTCTCAGCTTATTTCTTTGAGGAGTTATTAGACACCAAGAAGTACCGCAAGTACCCAAGTAATGTGAACTTGGAATCACGCAGTGCAAAAGGTGACATTATTGACAATGTGATGCAAGCATTGGGTAATTGGTCTCATGGACTTATAAAGGACAGTGCATGGTTGCTGACTTGCAGGCAGTTGGCGGTGTCCTGACTGACCCTTTTATTATTGACACAAGCATGTAAGAACACATTTAACTCATCTCAACTGGCCGAACTGTTGACTGATGATGATAATGAACAGGATGACTTGGAGTGATGGAAATACAGGAAAGCAGGGTCTACAAAATTTCAAGGACCAACACATGTGCAGTAGGGTCTGTGGATTGATGGGTGTGAGGAGTCAGCTACTTTCTGGCTGAGTCTTCAACAAAAAGAAGTGTGTAAATGACTAGGAAGAAGTCATCACCGGACACCCAAGTGAAGACTGTAGTTAGTTGACCTCTAAGAAGAGTATTTGATGCCAGTGGGATGGCTGAGTAATCCCTATAAGGATCTTACTCGGAGCTCTGGTTGATCTTACAGCTTTGGAGCCTGCAGTACTTCAGACTCTGAGGATTCAGAGGTGCTGCGGGGTACTTTAGACTCTTTTTGAAGAGGAACCCTTTGTAAATTCCAAGCTTGTTCCGTTAGCTATTGATCCCACCAGCTCAGAACACCACTTGAGGTTTTACAATAACCTGAATAAAAGTAGAACTATGATAATCAAGATACAACAATATCACTATACTCAATATTCTTGGTAAAGAATCAAGTATGTTGTGATGAGGAGTTCTGGTATGATAATAAGTTGTTCTTCTTCCAGAGTGGGAAGAAGAGGAGTTTATATATTCCAGACACAGGCGTCAACTTGTGGTTGGCGCTTAGGTTTGCTCTTCTTTTGAGTTGGGTTTAGGTTAGGTTTACTATGGGGTTAAGTCATAGTAAGTCTTGTTACTTAAGTGACTCTTGAAACTGAGCCATGAGTTGTAATTCTTATGGTTTTAAACAAGTTTCATATATTTACATATTATTTACATATGTATTCCATGTATTTACATGTGTATTTGTTAGTCTGTGGTCCTGTACACAGGGCTCAGGGCTGACAATGGGATTGGATAGAATTCCCAAGGAGAAGAGTAAAAGCTCTGATGATATTGAGATTCTCTCTTGTAGAACCCCCTCCCCTATTCATATCCCCAGCAAAGGACAGAAGTGAACCTCAATATATGTGGCTGTTGATTTATTGATACTCAATTCCATCAAACTGAAATCTACTCCTCAAATGTTTCATTTCTTCTGCACTACTACTAATATTTCATACTGTTCACTTGCAAAAAAATAACAAGTGAATAAACTAAATAATTAGAAATAACTAAGGATATGTTTTGTTTTCCAATGCTTGCTTCTTCCTGTCCACCTGCTCTCTGTAATTCTCAGCAATTAGTCCCATGATGATGCTGATGTTTCAGTAGCAAGCCTTCTATTGATGTTGTAAGCATATTGACACAGGGACATAGTCCTTTCAGCATAAAACTCTTTAACCCAGGGTAGATCATCTTGTCAGTCTTCCTCAAGTTTATTGATGTCCTTGCTGGTACTGGAATTTTGGCAATAAGGTCCTGCAGAGCAAAAGAAAAGCCTCAGCTGTGTCACCACAAGTAAGTGAGAGAAGACATTACCAATCTCCTTGTTGTTTTGATGTTGACTACATTGTTTTGAAGACCTGTGTCCAATCCCCCTCATTTTTCATTGGCGTTCTTTCGGTGGAAGTGCATTAACTGCATGGCTATTTGGAAGAATGCCCCTGGCTTCTGAATGCAAGTGCGTGTTTTTAATAGCTCTCCAAAAGTCTTTCCAGAGTTGATTATTTCTTGTATCTGTACTAGTGGAGTCCTTTGTCTTCAAATGTCAGTATTTGTGTTAGAGAGAGATAAATATCAATTGTGAAGTCAGCATCATACCTCAACATTGAATCATGCCACACAAATCAACTTGTTTGCCACAAGGTTCACTAAGGCCACTGCACATCTATCTACCTGCCTTATTTTTGGTCCTCCAAACTCTGCCACTCAAAACACAACACAATCTCCTGGCTGACCATACCGCTGTTTGATACCTTTAGCAATTTTCTCATTGACAACATCTCTTATAGTATCTCTAATAGGGTTACGTTGAGCATTGTGCTCTGTGTCTCTCTTATCCTTCTTCTTTCTTGAGTACTCTTGTTTCCTGCCTGCCTTGTATGTTGCTCTTTTGAGGGTGTGCCTTTTCTTCTTGGCATCAGATTTGTGTTTGGTCATCTGCAAAGGTACAAAGTGGGCATAATGAAAATCAGTTATCCACTTGAGCTGATGATGATGGAGACATGAGTGTATACTGCATACCAAGGGGGTAGAGTGAAAGAAGTGGGGACTTGGAGATATGTGAACGAAGAGGCTAGACTGTCAGTTGGGGATCCCCACAGTTGAGTATCCCAACCCCTCATGAGATCAATGATCTCTCCACATATCTCCAAGTCCCAACTTGACCCTCTCCACCCCTTTGATATGAGTTCTGGGTTGGTAATAAAACATTGGAATAGATAAATAACTATGTGTTGATGTGTGCCTCTGGGGATGTCTGCTGGAAGTTTGATGCAGATTAAGAGTAAGCAAGCTGATGAAGGGAAGGGCTCTTATACATATCATTATACGGTTAACTTGTGGGTCAAGAGTCAAACAATCCTGTGACTCTTAGGTTGACTTGTGGGTTGGAAGTCAAGATCATGTGACTTTTTTAAAAACCATGTTGGACTTGTTTAGGCACTTTGATACTTAACCTTGAGTCCTGACTGAAATTTTGCTACAAATGAAACACAAACACGCATACTTCATTGCATAAAGCATCTTGTCAAAACAGCAAACACAAAAATCTATCTCCATTTCTCCAGCTTCATCATATTCACCTGGAACCTGAAGGCTGCTATTTTGGAACTTGACCTGTTGAATGTAAGCTTTGGGAAGTAGGGTACATAATTGATGATGTAGCTTGAGTGTCCATTACATACCAATATCATAACCCATACATATTGCTAGCTGCATCTTCTGGACCCAAGCCTATTTACCATTGGGCTCCTGATGAGGTAACCCATCATGATAAAATGAAAAAACCTTTGCTAAAAGTCCTATTATGTAGTTGTGAGTCCTGCACCATATAGCCTCCTTAAATTTGATTCCATGTAATTCCTGAATTTGTTTTGCACCCTCCAGCATACCCAACACAGTTGCAGGTGGTGAAAATCTGTAATCTTTAGTTACTAACATTAAACCTCAAACTCTACCAACCAAAAAAACCTTTCCTCTCCAGCAACCTTGATAGCATTGTGAAATGATTGAGACATTTCCTGCTGGGCAGTCAATGTTGGAGAGTCCATTTGTTTGACTAAAGAGAACAAACACTTTTCATGATCCAGAAGGTGTTTTGGTGGGTTTTTGAATAGGATGGATTGGTTGTAAAGTGAAGGGCCCCATACGCCTGAGCTGAACAAAGGTGCACCTTCAGCCGGTGAAAAGACATCAATCCCTGCAAAGGTTGGGATTTCAGTACCACAAATATGTGAAATGAGAAAAGAAGAACACACCTTTTTCCTTCATTTCATGGATCCATTTAGTACATGACGTATTAGAGTTGTTGAAATGAGCACCTGGTGGAAGAGAAAATTTAGGCTTCTGGATAAATGGAATATGCTCCCATTGGGTTCAAAGCAAACTGATCACAGTGTCTTGCCCAGTCTTGTACTGGGCTGGCCACATTCTTTGTGGATGAGACAGGAAAGATTGAGATGAATTGAATAAAATGTCTTGGTTAGTTAAGAACAATGGTGGAAGGTTTTTGGATTGATTATATGATATAGAAAGTGTGGCAACTGAGTGAACAACATCATGCAAAGGTATTTCTGTATCTATTTGTGTATTGTCATTGGCCATGTTCAGTTTGGATTGAAGTGGTACGTTTGATGATTGAGTTTTGCTTTCTTCCATACCGACTGGATGAACGGGGGGAGGCAATTGATTTGGGCTAATTGGAGGTTCTATTTGAGTTGTGTTAATGGGAGCAGGAGCTGTTTGTTTGGTAGCCGGATTGTTTAATTGGGATTTGTTGATGTGGGTTTCAAGATTAGTTGAATCATTACTACTTGTATTCATTTCTTCAGTCTGACCATTTTGCTTGTCAATCTCCATTTGATCCAAAGTAGCTGTTTGATTAGCACTACTATGATTGATCTCCTTAGATTTACTAGTACTGTTGATGATTCAAATTTGATGAAAGGACACATCGGGAATAATGCTACGTGGTTTAATTGTATTAGGAGAAGGAACTTGTTGTTCTGTGTCTACTTGGTTTGAAGGAGAAGGGCCAGATTGATTGTCCAAAATGTGTGATTGAGTATTGACTTGATGAGAAGGAATAGGAGGAATTGTAGATCCTTCTTTATTTATCTGAGTTTGAGTAGCATCAATCTCAATATCAATACTATCAGAAGAGATAACCAAATTGTTACTATCCAGACTTTTATTTATTTCATCATTATGACTATTTTCGTGATCAACTTCTGCAGCCTGATTGTTCTTCTCCTCAATAGCAGTTACATCTAGATTTTTGTCATGTTCATCATCAATAATGATCCTTTTTGTTCCATGGGGCTCTCCTTTGGCCAATTTGTCTTCCTCGTCCTGACACACAAGTTTGCGTTTGGTGCTGAACCCTTTTGAGTGCCTTTGGGAGCCAGAATAAGGAGGAGCACCAGCCTTTGCTCGTGAAGATTGGCGGAGAGTAGGTGGTTTGGGAGATGGTGCGGTGAGGTCAATTAAAATCACTCCATTGGAAATGGGAGGAGGTATCTCCATTTTGACGTCTGGAGGAAAGATGAACCAGAAATGTCAGATACCAACAAACAGACAGGGACATAATGATGAAGATGGTGCTGCATACTTCTCAATCTTTTTTTACAATGGGTTGATGCTTGTTTGATGTACAAAATGACTTTTTCAGGCAAGTAAAGTGTGTCGAGTATTTTTTCAATTTTTTCGGTAGCCTCTGAGATAACACAGTCATAGTGTTTTGAAGTAAGTCTGTCAAGTTCCTTCTTGGAAAGCCCTTTCTTTTGAATATTTGAAAGGGGTCCAGAAATCATTGGTGCTTGATCAAATGTCTCATACGAAGGAGCAGAGAATTTGTGGCAAGAATTGGATGACTTCTCCAGACACTCAGTGATGGGGATTTTGGAGGAAACATTTGTGAAATCCATGTCTTCAGGAACAGGCGGCCTAGTTTGAGGCACCTCAGAATTATTCATGATTGGTTATGGATGCTTTTCACTTTATAAGAATTGAATGATAGATTGATGATAGAAATGAGATCAATCAATTGGTTGTTTAATACAAGGAGGAACTTGATTGACCAAAAGTTTTCTGGAGTGAGGATGTGTGATGTGTTTAGCTGGATTGAGGTGGTTGAGAAAATGAATTGAAGTGGTTGAGGACAGAAAGTTTGGTTCATCAGCTGGTGAATCACACAGAATATCATTAACTCTAGGATAAAACCCACAACACCCTGCATTTGGGAGTTTCATCAGTTTGAATTTTGTATATGTATTTTCATAAACAACAAGTGTATATGTATCAGACTTCAAATGTACATCATACCAAATCAGCATTTTGACATTCATTACGCTTTCAATAACCTCTTATGATTGATAATCTTGCAAGGTAAGTCCTCACATATGTACGTAATAATGTGCTTTTATCATAAACCACTTGTTCGCTTAATGCTGGGCAAGCGAACAAAGGCATATCAATCATGTTCAGCGGGTTGGACTCATTGGAGAAGTGCTGATTGGTATCTAAATTTCCCAGAAAGGAAACAAAACACCTGATGTGTTCACAAGGAGTGATTAAGGTCTGAAGCTTAATCAAGTCTGGTGGTTTGCCTTGAGGACAAGCGAGATAAGAGTTGAAGGCCTGTGAACTGTACCATCTGTTTGCTTGCTTGCCTACCAGGCGAACAACGAGAATAAACAGTTCACAGGCCTGTGGACTCTCATGCCTCCGCTTGTTTCCTCAGCAAGCAAACGAAGGCAATATATCAGCACATACTTTGAGGCTGGTACTGCGTGAACCATGGTTTGTCCTGCCTTGATTAAGGTTTGAACCACAATCAAGACTAGTGATTGGTTTGGCATGAAATTTGACCTAAGTTTTATTTTGTAAATCTTGGTAAATCCCTTGAATATTGTTTTGGAGATGGAGTGGAGTGTTTTACCGGGCAATTAGAAAAAAAGGATGATCACAATATACCAATGATAATCTTATTGATGGTATGACCTTTGGTAATTGATTGGAGGAAGTTTGAGCGCTATTTATGTCTCACACACAACAGCAAAGTTTTAATAGCTGAATCTCAAAGTGGGGCAAGAAGTGCTTACATGAATTCAGGATTGTAGCACATGTAAGGGTGTGGTCAATGTGAATCTTGGACACAATTGAGGGTAGCACTTCAATCTTCAAATTATGTCAATCCCACTGATGCAATGTGGCGAATAATAGGAGTCATATGATGCGATGCGGGGAACAGGAGTTATATGTTGCACTGATTGTCTTATATAGACATCCAATCCCTCCCACTTGTTCCCACATTTTTCACTCCACTCAAGCTATATTCATTTTTCATCTTGACTAAATTCTCAAATTCAAATATATCAAAATGTCCTCAAATCCTCACTTAATCTTTGCTGGCTCCATCAGGTCCACTATATTTCGGCCAACACCAGCTTCATGTCATGCACCACAGATGGTGGTAGCTGGGGATACAGTTCCAATCAACTTGGTTATACCTCCTCAGTATGAAGAAACCTCATATATTGGGTTATTCCTCAAAACTGGACAGTGCATAGGCTATGTCCCTCCACATTTCCAAGCTTTTTTGATTGATGTTCTTGGGGGGAACAAAGCAATCTTTGTCACGGAGCCTGCTGGAGGGTGGACTGAAAGTGTTTCCAATCAAACAGAACTTCTTAATACCCCGTTAATTAGCTGTTACATCTCTTCAGCAGTTGAATATGGTTTGACTCAAGTTTATTTTGAAATACTGTTCTTTATCAGACCTAAAGAGCTGGTGTGTTTCAGCAGCAGAGTCATTCACCACAAAATAATCTTAGAGCAGCCTGCCTACAATCCAGAGGATCACTTCAAAATTCAATTAATCAACATCCAAGGCTCAACCAAGCCCAACTGGAAGGCTCGCTACTCTGAAAGTTATCAACTTACCCCTCAGCAATTGACTCAACCAGAAGCCATTCCTAGTGGACCAGATCTTACTCCAGTGGAACCAGTGAATATCATCTCATTGAAACTGAAACTCCATCAATTACAAGGCCTAGCATTGTTGTTGGACAGAGAATTGATGTATAGTGAAGCATACAACAATGCCTTATGGAAACGTAGAATAGAAAATACACCCCGCGGACAAGTTACATTCTGGGATAATATAATACATGGCAAAGGACTCTTTGGAAGACTTACAACAGGAGCAATTACTCCTAGCGGTTCAATTCTTGCTGATGACATGGGTCTTGGAAAGACATTGCAGACCATAGCATTGATTGCACATACACTTGAGGACGCCCACAGTTTTGGAAAAAAAATATGATCCATACTAAAATAATGGGAGTCACTGCCAGGATTAAACACTGTCCCTAATGGAATAATGCTCACTTTTGCATTAATTGCTAAGCATTTATATGGCAAAAATTAATTATCCCAAAAAGGAACACATTATCCCAACTAGGACGGTGTTTAATCCTGGCAGTGAGTGGCCGCCGTCGTTCCCACACCACCCTAGCTATCTGTCCAAAAGGCTTGTTTGATACTTGGACCCAGGAGGTTCACAACCACACCCGGACAGGCACCCTCAAAGTTATGCGCTGGCATCACTTGTCTAGATTCAAAAAACCGCACTCAGAATGGCAATCAGCAGATACTATATTGACTTCCTACAAGACCCTGGTTGAGGATTTCAAACAAAGCAGGCCACTTCCACTCACATTTTCAACACAATGGTACTGGGTAGTATTAGACAAGGCTCATTATGTGCTTCTTCTTTCAAGTGGGTTTTCAGGTGACTCATGAATCTCATTTCTCTTACAGTGGTATCAGGAACAAAACCCAAAGACTGGAGTGTGTTACTCAGTTGGAATCTATCTGCCGACTCTGTCTGACTGGTACACCACTCCACAGCCAAATTTGAGACCGTCACTCACTCATCAAGTTCCTCCAAGTAGTACCTTTTGATCAAGACCTTGTGTGGTATAACAAAATTGTGAAACCAATTTCAATTGGAAATTATGGACCTCTATCCCCGTTGATGCGGTATATGATGCTTAGACGCACCAAGGCCAGCCATCTCCCAGATATACCACTGGTTTGTCATGAAACAATACTTTTATCTTTTCATGAAAAAGCACATGACATATACAATCAACACTATCAAAAGTTTATGTAATCCTTTGGTATCAACTCCAAGACAAAATTTGATGGGGCTAATTATTTCAAGGACTTGATCAATCTCAGAATGACCTGTAATCACCCACTTGGATTTGGCGATACTAGTCAATCACGCCAATTACCCACTGAAAAACCTAATGATATGGAGCTGGCCTGTGGTATTTTGGATCATGGTTCACCTCAAGATTGGCAACTCAGGACAAAGCTTACATTCTTAATCAATGACCTCTGTGAAAGGAAAAAATACAATGGAGGCAAGAGTGTTATATACACACAGTGGAGGTCCTTGATGGATTGGTATGTTTTTGGGGGGATTGTTTCAACTCAAAATCACAAGTCATTGACCATTTTTTGAACACTTCTACAGGATTGTTACTGCCCTTGGTCAGGCTGGAATTGACTGCTGTATTCTACATGGTGGAATGGGGACAGATGAGAGGACTTTCCAACTGAAAAGGTTTAGGAAAAATGATTTTGTTTTGAAAGACGTATGACGTGAGCAAACAGAGTGAAATTCAGAGGTAATGTTTTGCTGCGGATATATGTGAAAAGGAGACAAAATGAACTGTCTGTAAGACTGCACAAAATTCTTTCCCCACAAGACTATTACTGAATTGAATCAAGGCGTTTGGTTGTATTGGTGGGATTTTGAGACCTTTTGTGTTGAAAGAACGCCAGCGCACTGATAAGTCAGCATATTTTGTGGTCCCCGGTTTCATTGATCCTACTTGTTTCATCTCATCACAAAAGAGATACTTTGCAACTCCCAACAAACACACATGAAGGATTTCAACAGGAGTATCTAAGTGACCATTAAAGCCTGATAACAAGAATCAGCTGTGAATTCAATTAAATGCAAAATAAAAACTACACTTACCTTTCAGACAAAGCATCAGATTGTAAAGATGATCTCCTCATTCCTCATTTAGCCCCCAACATATGTCTTGAACCTCATCTACTGGCTTCCATTCATAAGAACCTTGTACTTTATTTGGAAAAAAAATCATTCATTGTATCATGCATTCCATACTCCCTTGCCTTTTTCTCCACATGTCCTTTTGAATGTGGAACCTGAGCAATTGCCCATATCTCCTGTGTTTTCAACCATGTATCATCCCAATCCCACTTTGATAATCCGCTCTACAACCAATTACATAGATTCGATTTTGGATTGCTTCATTGAATACTTAAGATGACTTGAAAATAGATGTGCTTACATGTTCACTATCCCAATCTAATCCTAAAAATTGAAGTACATACTTCTTGGTTTTCTTTTCAGCCATTGAATCCACTTGAAGATCACATATTCGACATGGTGTAAGTTTTTTTGCGGAATTTTTAGTATTGCACATTTCAGCGTGCATAGGCAAATCACCTAGATAGCAAAGAGCTACTCCAAGAACCAGCACTTCTTTCAAGGCACACTTGGGTATATCAGTGCAAGCCTTGAAGCAATCAGGCCGCTGAAAGTCATTGTGTGACAAACATTATGTTTGATTGTACAACAAAGGAATGCCCTTGCAACTGATAATTTGGTCCAACAGATTTGTATGGATTCTCAGGAAGAACACTGTTAATGATTTTTGTGTTTTGTTATACTTCTGCTGTTGTTGCTCCCCCTGGTCATGTTGTAACATCTGTTGTTGCTTTGTGTTATATTACCTTGATCTCACAGGTGTTTTGCAGTGCTTTGTTTGGGAACCCTTTTTCTAGAGATTGGGGTTAAGACCCTTCAGCTGGGTCCCAGCTCTTCTTGAAAATTGTTCCCTGAAATCCCTATCTTCACTAGGTACACATGTTAGACACTAGCTGGTGTCCATATACTTGTAACACCAACAGTGTTGGTAAAATCCTGCTAGGAATTCATACACCCATCGCTTTGCAAGCCTCATTCCTCTTTTCAAAGAGGAGCAAGTCTTGCCCTTGGCATCAATACCTTGCATATTGATTATTGCAGATTGACAACAAGTGTGTGCCAAAGTCCTTCTGTACACATACATCCTATCAAGAGATTGCAAAGACATGGATTTTTGGGCCGTGAAAATGGCATAATGATTGATCACTGCCCATGTCACAAGACATCTCACTAGGAGCTGACACATGTGATCTGGATCACATTGTTGGTCCAGATGACACCTTGATGTAATAAGTATGGTGTCCCTGATGAGCAAACAAGGACCACACTATGCGCTATGTACTATGAGTTGTGTACTCTGCACTTTGTGCTTATGTGCTATGCGCTGAGGTCATTGTGCTTTTGCACTCTGACAAAATCCCGACCGACTGATTTTTGATTTGACCGGAATTTCGAATTCCATCATCAATCGATGGACTCCTCACACCTCACCTCACTTGATCTCATCAGCCCACAAATCTTGACATCACAGTATCTATTGATGGCGCCAATAGCTAATTGTGCAGCAGAAACAATCTGAAAGGTTGTCCGGATGCAACCCTTCGGAACTGTTGGGATCAATTGATTGGAGTGTCCGGATGCACCCCAGTCATCACTTGATCGAGCTGATACTCGACTGCCCATCACCAACCAACTGAAGCTATGAACTCCATCAATACAGCATGTTGTCTTTTTCTTACATATTCAATCAATCGTCTCTTAGTTTATCAAATCGATTGTCTTTTCTCATCAACTCAATTCAATCGACTTATTTCATCAATTCAATCATCAACTCATCTCATCATGAATCTCTTCTTGTTTCATCAATTCAACTGACTTTTCTTATTGACTCAATTCATTTGTATATATACATGCTGATACAAATGTAGGACTGTCTGATTAGTTAGTGAATGAATACCAAAGTGTTATTGTGAATTGAAAGATTCAATCAAGTTGATTATGAATTGAGAACTGAAGGATGATTTGATTGAGAGTATTGAGTCCAGGATGAACAATGGTGGTCTTTGATGACCGTGATGGATGGGTTTTATGATTGATCGTTTGAATTTCAAGTTTTGGTCACAAAGGGTTTTTGATTGATTGTTCCCAAACATTCGACCAGGGATCAAAAGGTAAACAATGATAATTTTGGTCTTTTGTTGACCTTTTTGGTTGAGTGTTCGGTAAATGAAAATTTGTTTTGGTGCAATGACTTTTGGGAAAAACAGGCAAACGGGTGCTAAGGGTAGTGGTGGAGCATTACTGAGGAGTCAATCAATAAATAAAGTGAAAATCAAAAATCAGCTGGTCGGGATTTTGTCAAAGTGCACAAGCGCAACAACCTCAGTGCATAGCGCATAAGCACAAAGTGCGTAGCGCTCAACGCATAGTACATAGCACATAGTGTGGTCCTCAATCACTCATCAGGGACACCATAAATAAGAGAGAAACCGCCCTTGAACAGTATGCCCCGGATTGATTACATTGTGCTGGAGATCAAAACACACATCAGTTGTAGTGATGCTGTCTCTCTTGTTAGAAAGTTTACCTATTTGTCAAACTCACTGAACACTTTCCTCTACCTCTGATGTGAAGATTTAAAGATTAGATCTCCTTTATTAAGACTGTAACTTTGTTGGCCCTGATATTTCTGGAGGGCAATCCAAAAATTCTATTTTGGTCTGATGAACACAAAGATCAGCCAGTTCCAAAGTGACAGCTGAGACACTTACAATGGTGTATATAATGAGAATCAGCTGATGAGATTTTGAGGTGGTCATTTTTCAGGCTGATCCTTGAAGGAGTTTTATATACGTTTTCTAAGGAAAGCCTCTTGAATCCAGCTACAGAGATCTTAATCTCTTGAGCTCATAAATTGACACCCTGTGGATGCATATGATCAATAACAGTTAAAGTTGGGCATATATTGAAAGGGTCTTGACGGTGAGTGATTGTAATTGCACTCTTCAATTGAACAAGTTGAATCAACTCAAGCATCACTGAAATTACCATGCATTTTCTTCCCCTTGGTATAAAGTAGGCAACTTATTGCCTTAACTCAACTTTAGAATTTTTCCATGTGAGATTTTTGCTTCTTTATATTATTGAAATAGACAAGTCTCTTCACTCTTGCAAAAATTATCCCCAGCATCATGATCCATAACGAATCCCTATTTCTGAGTCATTGCACTTTACAACATATACTATGTGGATACAAAGTAATTTGTCTGTGTTCAGCCAACAGTAGTACATGGCATTTTCAAGAGTGCTCCAGGGAACAAAGTAGAAAAAATCTTACTCTTGAATGTTATCGGATCTTCTGAAGGTCAAAGTAACTGAAATTGCTAATCATGTTTTAAATATACTATTCCTAGTGGATGGTTAAGCCCATTATTGAATGAAGAGGATACTCCTGAGTCTCACTGAATTTTCAAGAAGCTTGGGGTTTAGATCATGGAATTTCACATTTCATTTCTCTCTCAGATTGTGAAGTATAAGCATAAAGCATAAAGATAATGGTTTCACAAAAAATTAAGTATTTGGTATCTATGACAAGGTTTCACTAATTCTAGATTGTTCTGCTGCACAATGCAATTTCTAACCATTTAAAATCCTACTGAATCATCTTTAACCTGTCATAAAAGATGCAGTAGAAAGAAGAGGAGGTGAAAATCAAATTATCATTTTGTTCATCACATTACATCTCATTTACAATCTCTGTGCATTCTTTCAAATGGGCATTCATCTCATCATATACACTGGTGAGGTTGTCAAGTTCTTCCTTGATGACAGACTTTATAAATTTATTACCATTGTTATCCCCATTCACTCATCTATCAGGGATTTGTGCCTTTGATCAAAGGCACAGATGTAGTATTTTTCGGCTATGCAAAATGATTAGAATTAATGTCAAAAATGATTAAAAATGCTATGTTAATGCATAAAAATGCACCATTAATGCACCATTAATGAAAAAAGATGCAGAATCGATGCAGAAAAATGCAGTGTTAATGCACATGCAGAATGAATGCAGAATTCCACCTTTTTCAATTTTGTTTGTCCTTCAGGTCAATCATTTTTCACTTGGGAAAAATACTACATTTGCCCAGTGTGAGATGCTTGGGGTGGGTATTGGGGTGGTAACCTAAAAAAAATACAGGGTAGTCAATAATGTGTTTCTCATATTACATACAAAACACACCTCATCTACGGAGTCCATCTGATCAGTGGGAGGCAATAGATTTTTCTGGTGTTCTTCAAGTATTTTTTGAAGAGACATAATGTTTTGCTGAAAAACCATTTCCTTGAAGATATTCTCAGATAAGTTGGGCCTGCCAAATATGCCGGCTTGCCACCCATAGAATAGGGGGTGTTTTGGTTAATGGAAGTTCAAAAGCCCTTTGTATCTCATGTAGTTCAACATATCTAAAGTGCTGAGGGTTGTTTCCCTACAAAGGTTTTCTTGCCCTCCTCTCCAAACAGTCAAAAAATCACAATAGGTGGTTTCAAGTCAATGAATTTACGGTATTTTACCGTCCAACAAGTTGTCCAATGTTGCAAAATATACCATAAATTTAAAAAAATTGGGACACCTGAAAAGGTGTCCCGAATGGTGTTGACCGTATATTTGCAGAAAAAAAACCCACCGTAAAATTTAAAAAACTTGTCTGTTATTTAAAAAGTTTCACAAAAAAATTCTGACTTGAAACCCCGTAATGTTTCTATCATGCAATATGGCTCAAAATCTGTGCCTGCTTGATCACCTGTCTTCCACTTTTGATGTCAAATCATGGAGATTTTCAAAACTTGATTTATATTGCACAGACAAGGTACAAAGCTCTACTGTAAAGTATAGTCTACAAACACTTCCATGACGGTTCTGGTGAGTGCCAAGGCTGTAATGCTAATACTGTGTACAATTCATGTGGTGGTTCACACTTTTTTTCAATGAATCTTTTCATATCCTTTTTGAATATTTAAAAATGAGCTCAGCAGTGCCAGGCAGCCAGGCTATCAGAGTCACTCAAACATCACAAGGTTCAAACAGCACTTGGTGGAGCCCCAAGGAAAATGGACAGAACAATTTCTCCATGCACATATAACAATATCTATGGTACTCCAGTATCTATGTAGCACTGCATACTTACTTTAAGTACTCCTTATTCTATGTGAGTGTGAGGTAGGAACTCTAGGATTCTAGGTTTTGATTATTTGGGAATCTCACCACCCACCTGTAAACTCTTAACCTTGCTAAATATGTACATGGTTCCTTCAAACAAGAACTTCACCAACACCATGTTGTTTCCTCAACCCTTTGAATCTCATTATCAATAGATTACTGAGATCCTCATTTTCTATGTTTTGGTTCAGGGAAATTTGAAACCAAACAATCAAAATGTGCTCTGATTCAGAAAAACTTGAAACAGAACTTGTTCACCACATTTCATTATCATAGAATCATAATTTCATCGCCTACCAAATGTCATTTTCTACACCCTTTCAATTCAAATTGTATCATATCCAGGTCGTTTGAGATGTTCATTGTGATCATTCTGATCTAGTCAAGCTAGGAACAAAGCCTGTTTTCAGAATAATCTTTATCAATATAATCCAGTGAGTATCATCATCTGGTTAATGGTGTATTGTTTGGCATTTATATGGAGATGATGACTTGAATGACAATGCAAGTGCTCACTCTAGATTTCTCCCTATTGCAAGAAGGCCATTTCTTCCAAATTGAATGTGAGCCTAAACTCGTCTGGTATCTCTTTGTCCAATTATTTCATTAAGTAATTTTGATTAATTTATTCTTTTATTTTTACAGTGAAGGATTATTGAAGCTTGGTCCTTTAATTGATTCCACAACCTGATATTTCCCTTATCAATTGGTTTTCATTCCTCTTCTTTAAATCTCTGGTAGATTGAAGAATCAGTTGTTTTGTTTGTTGCCTGTTAATTGAGTTGAATTTGTTTTGTCTTGAACAAAAATCTGGCAGATGGGAGAACTTGTCCCTTTCTGTCTTTTTGTTATCTCATTTTGATTGTTTTCATCTTTGAAAAATCTCTGGTAGATTGCAGGACCTGTGTTTAAATCTTTTCTTGTTAGGGTGGAAGGTTGATTTCTTCCATCTTTAACTCCTACATCACTTTCTTAATATCACTCCATTGATTTCAGTTGCTTTTTGTTAATACCACACACCCCACACAACTTTCATCAATTCATTGATTAAAGGTTCTTGATTTCAAGTCCACTCAACCTGTTTGCTGTATCATAAACACAGTCTTCTTCCCTCCTTGGGCTTTCCCTGTTCCCAGCTGTCTTGCAAATAATTATTTCTCAACTACAAAATCACGATGCAAACAAACTTGGCAGTTGGATCCAAATGCAAGCTTGCAAACACTGAATTTGCTGAAGTCTCAAGCAGTGAGTCCTCTGTTGGAAGCTGCAGGTTGCAACTAATCTGACACTTTGACTGTGATTGCAGGCCCACAAGTTTTGAATTTTTTAAGGATCCAAAGCACAAAGACAATAGGGGATTTCAAGTCAATAAATTTACGGTATTTTACAGTCCAAAAAGTTGTCCAATGTTGCAAAATATACCGTAAATTTAGAAAAATCAGGACACCTTTTTAGGTGTCCCGAATGGTGTTGACCGTATATTTGCAGAAAAAGAACTCACCGTAAAATTTGAAAATCTTGTCCGTTTTTTAAAGAGTTTCACAAAATTTTTCTGACTTGAAACCCCCTAATATGAAACCTACTTTGGGCAAAGCTGGCTTTGACATAGCTGGAAGAAAAGTTGGAGAGCGAGATGTTTCCAAGTTGTACAAGCAAAACTTCTTCAAACATTTCAAAGCTCACAAGGAAACCAAACATTCTACTCCTCATGACAAAGGAAGAATAAGAACCATCCAGCGGCGTAGTCAGACCTAAGCACACTTTGGCTCACCTGAAACAAATCTAACTCTGATTGTTCCGGAAGAGGAACAAGATCACTTGATTGGTTGACCAACACTGCAAGGGAACCCAAGCCCCATGCTGATAGTCCAAGAAAAGGTACTCTCGTAAACAAGAGATGCAATCTTGCAAATAAGTCAAAAAATCAGATTTCAAAGACCCTTAAATCCAAATTTTGGACAGCTGACAGGTTCAAAAATGGTAAGTGTCCGAAAGGGGTTTCAAGTTCTCTCCAATATTGGACCATGACGTTGATTTTGTCTCCTACTCTGCAAAATCATTATCCCAGAAGCTGAACAAGAGCAACCTCAGCTCTGCCCCAATCAGACGCACCTGAGGAAGGAAGTTTTTCTGACCTCAAGGACAAAGAAAGAAGCAAAAGTTCAAGTAAGAATGTTTGTTTCAAAATCTGCCCAGCCTTGTAGAGAAGCCAGAGACTGAAGTCCGCGCTAATACGTTTTGCTAGTCTAACAAGCAGTTGTAACACAAGCTGAAGACAAGGAATATCTTGATATTCCCCAATCGGACATAGAAGAAGAAGGTTTTTTAGAGCTGGATAAGAAACCCAGGGAAAATGCATAGGAAGAGAAGGGAAACCCCATAGGAAGAGAGCAGATTTGAAAGTAAGCAGAAGGTCTTGCTATAGTCCTTCTCCAGATCATATGAGAAACTGGAAAGGATTAAGATTTTCACCTGCTCCAGTGGAATCAGAACAGGATGCCAGGAGTGACATCAACAGTAAGGAATTTTACCTCTGGAACATTTCTGCCTTTTGCAGAGATGAGGGACTGAAGTCTGAGCTTAATCACACAGACAAATCCAACACTCCTTTTCTTACAACAAAAGTATTCCAAGGCCCCTTCAAATCTCTGCAGGTTGAGAATTTCAGCTGCTCATCATGTTCTAAAAGCATGTGGTTCAAGTTCTTGAAAGCAAACATCCAAGCGGGGAAAGACTTTCGTGCTGGAAGGCAAAGTAACTATAATGAAGGTTTCAGCAATGACTATCTACCCTCCAGAGACCAAGAATGCGATGGCCAGTTGTTTATCCCATCAAATTCAAAAAACAGAAATTGAATGTTTAGTCTCAGTCTAAGTTGAAACAGAAACCTTTAACCAAAGTCAAAAAATCAAAGCGCTTGACTGGTTGCCCAAAAAAATTCATTCAGCCACCACATCCATGTTATGAGTAGGCAATTTATCTACCAAAAAGAAACAAAGACAAAGTAGCTCTTATTGATGTCAATCCCAAATCAAGCAAAGATACTATAGATCTCCATGAATCCTACAACTTTCAAGACACCTGTCAAGATCAGAGATCCAGTGCTCTAGGATCAATTGAAAATCTAGAAGTAAAGGAAGGTCATTTGAAATGGAAAGCAAGAGGTCCAGAATCTCATCCAGGTACAAATGAAGGACCACGAGATTTTCAGGGTCCAGAGGGAAGGAAGCAGAAAGCAAAACAGACTTTTCCGAATTGTTGCGTTCCGCCTCAACAACACCTTGAAGAGAGAAGGGATGTTGATAATCAATTTGGGGAGTGTGCACTACAAAAAGGGCTGGAGCCAATCTTAGCAACAAACGGTCATCTGTTGATACACAAGCTTTTGATCATGTACCCATTCCAACACAGGATTTTGAGAACACAACTTTTGTTTTGATTTATCTAGTAACCACTCATTCTGAAGAAATTGAAAACATGGATAAAAAAATTGGAGCCTTAACCAAGAAGATGCACATGTACATAAACAGGACTGTGTCAAGACATGGTAAACCACACATATCTTTAGGGACCTTGTCAAGGGAAAGCTCACAAGAGATTGCCACTTGCAGGGCTGATAGGATAACAGCAAGTGTGGCCTTTTGTATGGAAGGGTAGGATATAAGATTTTCCCCACTGATCACTTCTGCATGAAACAGGTCTTGACCAAGATTGTCATCTGGACTCCATATGGGTGGAGGAAAAAAGGGGAGGGAGTTCCTGAGGGGGCCAGTGTTGCTGGAAATCAAGACTGGATTCAAAGCCTCTCCATCACTGAATTCCTTGATCAAGGAAGCACACCCCTTCCGGGGATCCTCTGAAACTCCTCTCCCTTCTACAGGTGATTCCAGCTTTCTGTATCCCAACGGTCCCGGCGGAGAGATAGCAAGTGGTTGGACCCTACAAATCATGCAGCGACTGGGGCTTAAATTGTTTTGTCTAGACTATGTTGGACTGCTCTCCTCAACCAGCAGCATGTTCTTGTTTGGTATGGCCGCCGTCATTCTCATCAAATTAGTAGAATCAATGGAATACATAGGATGCCACCCAGCTGATCTGAAGCCAAAGAAAGTGCTCTTGTCAATTGTGACCCATATCAGAGGAACTTGATTCAGAAAGTGAGTTTGCTCAAGAAGACTCACAATTTTTCCAAGGCCTGGCATAGCTATTGTGACAGACAGCCTGAATGAGCTCAATAACAACTGGAAGCTCAAGACAAAAGGAAACTTCTAAAAAAATCAAATCAACCAAGTGATGATTGTTCTCTTCTTTCCCATAAATATACAGAAGGCTAACCTATTCCATGTCCCACATATCCTTGTGGCCTCTCGACAATCCATTCTCTGGAGCTTCATCCTTTATTCTCTACAACTGCCTTTTTCTTTCTTTTGCTTAACTCTTTGCTAAGTGAGAGAAGGAGAAGTGGGCGGAGAGTTCTTGGCTCAGAACTCAAGATGTTTTAGAAGAAGGTGAAGTTTAACTCCTGGGGAGAGCTCACCTTTGGTGATGGTCCCTCGCCATCATCTTTGATTCCAGGAGAGTTCATCTTTGTGACTCTTCTGAAAAATAGTTCTGGGAACTCATAAACTTCTCATCAGGAATGTATTCCTCGCCTCTACTCTGTAGTTGCAGACCGTATACCTAGTAGGCCTAGATGTTGTTGTAAGGAGGGAGAGGTGGTTGAGGAAATAGATGTTATACAGTCATACAATTGTCGAGTTATTTGAACTCAGAGATAGAAAAGGTTTAAGATCAGTGAAAATAATTGGAAACGGTCAATGAGGACAGACACAAAATGCAGAGTCAAGTTATATGACTATTCTTTTTTATCATCCAACTTGTCTATCTAAATGAACTACAACATGTGGTTTGTCAATTGGAAAAGGAGTTGTTTCTCAACTTTCTAAAGGGTAAAGGAATGCTTTTGATCTGCCATTCTGTTAGTCATTGATGTCATGGGGGTTATGCTTCTAAACAAATGTGATTCCTCTTTTTCTTTCTGGACTGGTCTCACAAGATGTGCCTCTTGTGAGAAGTAATGCAGGAATGTTGCAGGAATAATGAGACTGACTTCAAAGACAAACAGGGAATGAAGCATTGCAAGGTCCAAATTGTGCAATGGAGATATTCCTGGAAGTTGGAACGAGGTTTTGACAAACGGGAATTGGGAGAAGCGAAAGTAAGGATTAGTAACACATAAGACATCAGGATGCAGTAAATCAAGAAAGAGGTGCCACAAACCAATTCAATCTGAGAAGTGATTCAAGAGTCTAGATAGGATTGTGGATTCCGTAGTAAAGAAGTTACGTTTGTGCAGTTGTTCCCTCTTCTCAGCTCAAGTAGTCATTTATTCATTTGTTACTTTCATCCAAGTTCATTATCAACAAAATATTTGTGTATACAAATACAGTTATTATTCTTCTAATAGTGTAGTATATAACAAATTTTTGTTAGCTCGTTGATATATTTCAGCTTCCTAGTGTTTCGCAGTCATGCAGCATGACGCTAAAATGATTAACAATAGTACTGCCAAGTTCGATGCTATTGATGACATCCTTATCCAATATCATAACGCTGGGGGTAGTAACAAGTTTGACATGCGCTGGTTGCGAGACCAAGTCGCCTCTATCTTTTCTCCTTCCGACCCCAACTTCATATATCACTCTTCCTCGGTCGCAAAAAGCGCTATCAGATTTGATTTGGGAGCGAAACGGCCAGTCTTTCCGGTCTCCGGGAAAGATGCTGTCATCCCACCGCCAGGTGAAGTCCTCTCCAGAGATCCTGTCGTCTTGGGTGAATATTGGTGGCCTCGGGACATCGAAGAAGAGCTATACTCCCCTCTTAAGAGTTTCGTCTTTGACCCCCCCGCTCAGGAGCATCTCCAACCTCTGGTTGCCTCCAGCTCCGGTTCGAACGCTGTTGTTAATACGGCGACTACAGCCAATCAACCTACGCTCCCTAATGAACCGGCTCTATTGGCAAGAATCCTTCCTAGAGGTGCGATTGGCCCAGGAGATAACTTCAGATCCCTATTGTCTCGTTCTGTCTCCTCAAGGAAATCTCGCCGCCAAAGTCCTAGGCATAGGCACTGTTGGGGTAAAGCTCCGGCTTCTCCTCCAAATCTTTCTCAAAAAGAAGGAAGGCCTCCTCAGGTTCCTCTCGGAAACCAGAGTCGAGGCACTCAGGAGCCGCTTACGCGGCTTCCTATCCTGGACAGGATTGATCATGGCCAACCCGTCAATTCCGCTACTCCTGGTCACAGAAATAAAGGAAAGCGTGTGCCAAGCGATCCTTATCTCCTCCTATCCACAACAAGAAGCATAGTCGTTACAGTAGTTCTTTGGAATCCTCTGTGCGAAGCAGGAAGCGTCACAGAAGTGACTCTTCTTCCTCAAGCTCTAGCGATTCCTCTGACGTCTTGTATCTCGACAACCGTAATCGTGACCACAAGAGCCCAACTTCTCCTGTTCCCAAGGAATCTGCTCTCGCTCTTCTCATGGTTCCTATTGATAGACTCAAGAACAGAAAAGCCAGTTCCATGTCCCTCATCATACAAAGCATGGGTAGAGAATACTCACAAAATTCCAAGAAGGCACTTTCACTCTATAACACCGGTCCCAACAAACCAGCCAGCTTACCCTCCTCAATGTCGAAAGATTTACTTGAGTATAAGTACATCAAACTCAAGAAACTCTTTGGGGAAATGTGTTTCAAACCTTCTTTGGAAACTTTTATCTTCAACAAAAAATCTAAGAGCCTCGATATCAAGGGCATTGTTGACCGCATTGATTTTACCAACATGTCCAATTTCCTTCAGATATTGGACATCCTTTGAGATGCTTATCATGCGGCCTTTTTGTCAGCCTCTGAATCCATCAACGATTACTTTGATTACATTAAATACCTCTGCAAATGGCAAGAGGAGTGCGATTGGCGCAACATCATGGCATTCGACGGCGTGTTGCGTCGGAAATTCTCTGAATACACTTTGATCACCTTTGGTGACTACAAAGCTCCAGAACTTAGAAGATTCAAAGCTCGAAGCCTTAACAAACCCTTGACTCTTGTCGGATATCCTTCTCAACCTTCTTTGTCGAAGCAACCAAAACAGGCTTCGGTTTCTTCTCAGCCTCGTGATTCTAAATCACAATCCAAAGCGAAACCATAATTGAAAAAGACCAAGCGGACTTCCTTTGATTATCCTCTTAAGGACTGTTCAGGCAAGCCTATGGCTGGTCAGCCTTGGAATCTTTGGAATGCTAGCGTCTGTCCTCACTCAGACAACGACTGCAAGCGAGCGCATCACGTTTGCAACAAGCTGGGATGCGAGCTTGATCACCGAGGAGGCCTCGTCCACCGATGTGCCTAACGCAAGAAAGTTCTTCCGGAACTGAGAGATTGATGCCCTTTCTGAAGGGTACTCAGCCTCAGTAACTTTCTCGCTTATGGCTCCGTCCAGACATCTTTCAAATACATACCCCTGTCAAAGTTAACCGTCTTCAAATTCTCCTTCGAAATCACCCAAACCGCCCTTTTGTAGATTCCATCCTCCTTGGTCTAACTGAAGGCTTTTGGCCGGTCTCGGATAAACCTTCAAACATAACCGCCTTCCATCCTAATCACATCTCAGGTCCAGAAGACTCAGTGGTTCTTATCAAAACCAGAGACGCCGAAATGTCTCTAAATCGTTATTCACCTCCTTTTAAGTTGTTACTTCCCGGTATGAAGGTCTCGCCACTTTGTTTAGCAACAAATCAAACCTCAGGCAAAGTGCGCATGCACCACACACATGAGTTATGGGAATCCTTCCCCTAACAGTCTCATCCAGCGTGACAACATCAAAATCAAACTCAATACAATCGCATCTTTCATCCCTTTCCTTTTATGGAGACACCACTTCAACAGGAAATCTTTGCTGTGGAAATCAGATGTCGATTCAGCGTTCAGGATCCTGCCAGTCTGCCGTCAGTGGCAGTACCGTCAAATCATATGTATCGACAATGCTTACCACGCAGACCGTTGCGTCAACTTCGGCTGTGCAAGTTCTCCTCATTTGTGGCGTTCATTCTTTTCTCTGGTACTATGGATTGCATTCTATGAGTTTGGTATTACTGAGCTTAACGCCTACATGGATGACTTGTGGGGAATTGGTTCTCCTACGGACATAGTCTCCTTCAAGGGCCATTTCATTCCGCTCAATCAGGCTAAGTTCTTAGAGCTTTTCGATTACCTCAACATTCCTTGGAATTAGAAGAAGCAAATCTTCGGTGCAAAACTAGATATCATTGGGTTTAACATTAACTGTGATGTTATCTCCATCACCCTCCCAGAGGAAAAACGCCTCGCTCTAGTCACGGCCTTACATAAGTTCCTTATTCCCAGATCCTAGCCCCTAGTCGCGTGGCAAAGGATCACTGGATGGGCTAACTGGGCAATCAACACCTTCCCGTTGGGAAGGTGGTCCATCCAGTCGTCTTGGGATAAGATAGCAGGAAAAACTCTTCGCAATGCTCAAGTCCCACGAAACAAGATGGTGTTCGAGGATTTGTCCTGGCTAGCGGATTCTCTGGAACTCTGGACCGGCCGTCTAGTTCTAAACTCAGTTTTTTGGAACCTTGAGTTAGCAGAACTTACCTTCTTCGTTGATGCATGCCCCCAGGCATAGGAATATGGTGTCCTAAGATCAACAAAACTTGGAGTCAAACCATACCCCCGCTATCTCGAGCAATCTACTGGGCGGAACTTTGGGCTGTAGTCTCAGCAATCAAGATCGCCGCTTCTAGGAAGGCCCACCGAGCCGTGATTTTCTCAGACAACAAATCTGTAGTCGGGTTCTTCAGCTCTCACTGCCCTATCAACTCAGTAAGAATCTTGTTCAGACATGCGGTTACCATCATGCTCAACGAGAACATGGACATTAAAGTCAGGCACGTAGCCGGTGAACGCAACAGAATATCAGATGCGTTGTCAAGACGACTCACGGAGTGTTCAGAACTCGATTCGCTCAAAATCCTCAATGAAATCCTCCCACCCATTGACCCTGCTCTCGACGGCGGCATTAAGTACTCTTCTCAATACTTCCACAATCTTTGTTTTGATGACAAAGGCAGCCAAAGTCAAGGCGACCACTCTCTCTTTCTATGAGAGAGAGCAGCTAAAGACTTCAGACCTGGAAAAGCGCCTCGAACCATCTTCTCTCACCAAGTACGAATCTGGCACTCGTCGGTTTGTACAATTCTGCATTGAACAAAATGTCCCACTTTTGCCAGACAAAACCACCCTCTCTCATTTCATCTCCCTCGTATCTCGCGAACTCCAGCCTAGCACAGTAAGTAAATATCTCACGGGAATTGTACACTGCCTACAAGAACAGTTTCACTTCGCGACAGAGGCACGTATGTCAAAAAGAGTTCGAAACACACTGCAAAGTTGTCAGAAACTTTTCTCTGATCCCATCAAGCCTGCATTGCCGATGTCGCTAGCAGAGGTTCAACTGTGCGGTAGAACATTTAACACCACGTTTGACGACATGCTCTTCAATACCATCGGGGGCATTGGTTTCTCAGCCCTTCATCGCTTAGGAGAACTCACGGATTCAGACACATTAACACTCAGAACTCCACGAAAGTCTATCAAGCGCTCATCTCTTCTTATCTCTTTGTGTGGTACAATCACAACTCATATCTTACCTTACCACAAAGGGGACCCGAAATACTTAGGGAGCGAAATTGCCATAGTAAACAGGGACTAGACGCAGTGTTTGACGGTGCACAATCAGGGCACTCCCTTCGGTCGAGCGGCGCCACAGCTCTAGCACAAGCCGGTCTACCCATGGAAACTATCCAATCAATGGGCCGTTGGTCAGGTGACGTGTTTAAATTATATGTTCGCGGACACCCGGTAATGAACACGTTCTCTGCGGAAAAACACATGTTATCTTCGGGTGCGACGCTTGGAGAGCAAGTCTCCTTTCCTGGCTCCTCTTGTGAGTCCAGATCTCAATCTTTTAAAGATTATCAATGTGCATGATTCTGATCATGCAACGGTTATTGTTTTTCTCAGCCAAGCGCGCACCTTGTGGCTTAAAACACTGGCTTCGCCACAACAGCCCAGTGTCCGTAAGTAGTTCTCAGCTAACTATCTTTTGTTAAAAGACACTAATTCCTTGTGATACAGTTTAGAACATCAGTTTCAAAACTTTCTACAATACCAAGACTATCAGTGGTTCCGCAAGGCATAGTTCTTGATTCCCAGCCAGTGAGTACCACATTCACTTCGTGAATGTCACTGCATTGAAATAGATGCTCATAGTACGCCCGATCATGTCCAACCCATCCTAGCTACGCCTTGATCAAAAAATCTTTTTACATACCATCATACGGTCTAATTCCAATAGCGGGAGGTCAGGGTCAGAGTTATTTAGGTAGTCTATTAAAATGTCTCTTTTCTCTTCAGGGTTACAAAAAGAAATTCAGGTCTCAGGACCGTAGTGCGTTAAACCATTTACTTAAAACCTTTTCGAAGTAAAACTAACTACCAGCTTGAGCGGAAACAAATTCCCATCTGGACCATGTGCTTCATTCTATAGACAAAGCAAGAGTTAGGGGCAATGCAGTGATGTTACAGCCAGGACACCAACATTGGATATGTACCCAAAGTCAGGAGAATTGAATCAGAACTTGGGTCCCGCCAGATGAGATTTATAGAAACTGTCTCTCTGAACCTTACTACAAGAAACTCAAACCTTGGAAGAAGTGTAACTAGGGGAGTGCATGGCTTTCTAGCTACATGTCTGAGTGACGAAAAGTAGTTTGACAATTTGATGGGAGAAAAGAAAACATAATCAACTATACACACTATTATATACTGATCATCAACATGTTATAACATCTAGATTGTTCTTGTTTAACATCCATTTTCTCTTATGTCAAATTTCAGAGAGTGTGACAAAAGGTCTCACAGAATGACAGATACCAAAATTTGGCGGGATCTGTTGTTTGTCGCAAATATCAAGACAGACAGAGCAACAAAACAACAGATCACACCAAAATCTTGGTATCTGTTGTTCTGCAAAACCTTCTGTCAAATTCTCTGAAATTTGACAGAAGTCATATCTGTACACCCTAAGTGGGTCCGCAGGATTAATCTTCCCAGGAGTATGCAGAATCTGGAAGTGGAATTGAGTTAGATAGCTAGCCCATCTGGCTTGTCCGAGTGAAAGCTTCTGCAATGTCATCAAATATTGCAGCTTAGCATGATCTGAGGAGACTGTGACAGGTTGTTCAGTGCTTGTTAGCCAAGCGCACACCAATCCCCGTATGATTCCACGACAACGTCGAGTTCCTGTTCATGAACCTGTCAGTTATGCTCCAAAGGGGTCAGCTTACAAGACAAAAAAGAGCTCTAGAACGATCAGAATCAAAATGTGAGAGAAGACGTGCAGTAGTAAAAGCTTTCAGTTAAATATGAAAAGCAGAAATGCACTCAGTGGAAGTCAAAACATTTACCACATTGACCCCATTCCTTGTTAGTGCAGTCAAGGATGAAGAGAGAGAAGAAAAATGATGTATAAAACACCCATAAAAGCTGGTAAAACCTAAGAGTTAATACAATTCTTTTGAGTTAGTAGGATATGACCACTCAGCAATGGCACTCATTTTCTTGGGATCCATCTCCAAACCATCAACAAAAATGACAAAACCCAAAAAGGTCACTTCCTTTGCATAGAATTGACACTCATCAAAAGAAACATTTACTTTGTGATCTTGAAGACATTGAAGAACTTGAGAGACATGAACAGCGTGATCCTCAGACAACTTTGGGAAAATTAGCATATCAGCAATGTAAACAAAGCATGTGACGCCTAAAATTGAATAGAGCATTGAAAACAAGCCTGACCATTGTCTAATCCAAAAGGCATAGCAAGGCATTCATAGAATCTCCAAGGCATCCCAAAGCCCGTATTCCATTCATCCCCCTAACACGTATAAAATTCAAAGCCGAGCTCAAATCTACCTTGGTGAAAAATCTACAACCAGTAATTTTTGTAATAGGATCACCCACAAGTTGAATTCAAAAACTATTGCAAACTGTCATTGAATTGAGAGATCTGGAATCAATACACGGTTGATTATTCTTTCTTGGAACCTTAACACAACAAATTGGTGA